TTATCACGCCGTGATATCCTGAGTGCATACACATGCTTCATCACAGTGATATCATGTAGAACTCACGGTGTGATATTTGCAAAATTTGCGCATGCGTAATAGCCCTGCGAACTGCGAATTTAAAACCTAGTTTTTTACCTGTTGATTCAACATAACCTTTCTCTTAGTGCACGAACGTGGCGCAAAAATGATAATCAAAACACCGTTATCATAAAAAAATCACGACATGATTTTTTATGCTATCGGTCAAAAAATCACGACATGATGTTCGTATGAATATCACGAATGTTGTCCTTTTTTAATTGAATTCAATTAAAAAAGATATTCCAATGTTTAATAAAACGTTTTGTTAAACATTGGAATATCTTTTTAATTGAATTCAATTAAAAAAGGACAACATTCGTGATATTCATACGAACATCATGTCGTGATTTTTTGACCGATAGCATAAAAAATCATGTCGTGATTTTTTATGCCAACGGTGTTTTGATTATCATTTTTGCGCCACGTTCGTACACTAAAAGAAAAGTTATGTTGAATCAACAGTTTTTGCGAATGTATTCAATATTTTCTTGAATGTAAATTAACTATTAATTTAAATCCAAAAAAATATTGAATGTTTTTATTTAACCACAAAAACTCTTGATTCAATATATATGTAGGTATACTTTTTCTCTCAACGTACGAATGTGGCGCAAAAATAAATATTCAAACACCGATGGCATAAAAAATCACGACATGATTTTTTATGCCATCGGACATGTTTGGATATTTATTTTTGCGCCACATTCGTACATTGTGAGAAAATGTATGTTAACAATTGAATTAACAGCTTTTGCGGTTAAATACATTCAATATTTTTTTGAATGTAAATTAACTATTAATTTAAATCCAAAAATATATTGAATGTTTTTATTTAACCACAAAAACTGTTGATTCAATATATATGTAGGTATACTTTTTCTTTCAACGTACGAATGTGTCGCAAAAATGAATATCCAAACACCGATGGCATAAAAAATCATGTCGTGATTTTTTATGACCAAACACCGATGGCATAAAAAATCATGTCGTGATTTTTTATGCCATCGGTGTTTGGAATCGTGTGTCCTATTGCTTCTGTAATTCTGTTGCATAAAATGATTCAATATATATGTAGGTATACTTTTTCTCTCAACGTACGAATGTGGCGCAAAAATAAATATTCAAACACCGATGGCATAAAAAATCACGACATGATTTTTTATGCCATCGGTGTTTGGTCATAAAAAATCACGACATGATTTTTTATGCCATCGGTGTTTGGATATTCATTTTTCCGACACATTCTTACATTGAAAGAAAAAGTAAGTTAACAATTGAATTAACAGTTTAACATTCAATATTTTCTTGGATTTAAATTAACTATATATAGTTAATTTAAATTCAAGAAAATATTAAATGTATTTAACCGCAAAAACTGTTGATTCAACATAATTTTTCTCTTAGTGTACAAACGTAGCGCAAAAATGATTATCCAAACACCGTTGGCATAAAAAATCACGACATGATTTTTTGTATCATCGGTCAATCGCAAACAGCGATGGCATAAAAAATCACGACATGATTTTTATTTCTCACGCAGTGACATCCGGATGATGTCCGTATGAATAAAATTTGTGAAAATCACGACGTGACGTTCGTATGATTTTTATTTATCACGCGGTGACTTCCATATGATATCAGTATGAATAAAATTTGTGAAAATCACGACGTGATGTTCGTATGAATATCACGAATGTTGTCCGGGTTTTTATACCATTTTTGTTTTGAACAGTTTGCTATTTTGTCTGCTCAAACTGGCTAAATATATTCTTTTTCTATGGTTACCTTTAAATTTAATGCATTATCAAAATTTGTGTTTTCTAAAATTAATTTAATTAAATCAGATTTGCGCAATAAACTTTGCAGTGAAACTATATATGGTTTACTGTTAAGTAGCCAATTAATGGAAAAAAATTGCGTTGGATTTGATCCACCGTCACCTATGTACAAGCTAATGACTAAAGAAATATATTCTAATAAGAAGACTGATGGTGGTGATATTCAATTCGAAGATCTCATTTAATTAAATTATAAAATTTAATTAAATCTTTTTTTCTTACTTTAAAACCAAAGTTACTGTTAGAAATAATTATTTTTATTTGTTGAAAACATTTAACATTTAGAAATGAAAATGTGGTGTTGTTTTTTTATATTTTTTTCCTCTATCCATTTAAAAAAAACTGCCTCTTATTTATATTTTAGAAGGTGTACCATAATTTTATGAATTGTACCATAATTTTGAGGGTTGTGTACCATAATTTGTTTTCACATGGTTGGCAACACTGCAAATATCCAAAACTCTTTTTGGTACCTTAGATTCAGATGACGCTGAATATTACGATAAACAAATTCAAAAATTAAACGAAAATCAGGATCACAATCCTTTAATCGTTTTAAATTATTTTACATTGGATTTTTGGATTGTTTTATGTTATTTGTTATTATAATTGGTTTTAATTAAGAATTCTATTGGTTTAAATGGCTGGTAAATTGTATCCATTCATCCATTGAAAATAATTGAAAATATTTCCGAGTTGCAACTGATAAATTCATAAACTCTATAGTCACGGCCAAATCTGTATGGGTGCACGTCATCAACGGCATATGACGTCAGCGTTAAGGTCTATTCATACTTGCCCAGACACAATCTAACGCTCGTGTATTGTTGACTGTTTATAGCGGTGGGGGCTGTTATTAAGATGGAATTATAACGTCCTTGTTATAATCTTCTGCACTAACTAATTAGGAGTTTGTTACAGGCAATTTTTTATTAAATGTGTTTAAAGAGAAAACAAACGGAGTTTATTACATTTTTATTACATATGCACATAACAAAAAAATAATAAATTATCAGAAACACAAAAATAATAAATTACCAGTTGTCCTTGTCATGAGAGCAAACCAGGTCAGAATTGAAGTCTGATTATTTCCCCAAATTTATTATTAAGGGCGCAATCTCTTCGAAATCTAATAACGGCTAGTTGCCAACAAGCCTTATATCATTGTTTGCACAATCCAGGGATAGAATCTTATAAACATAATGTATAATATTATTTATAATAATTTGCAACAAACGATGCTTCCGGACGAAATGTCACAATTACAAAAATACGTCAAATATAAAATGACAGCGACCCATCAATAATATTGAACGGTGCGCGCCAGCCTTAAGCTATTACCAACTGGCACACACAAAAATTACTAAGTGAATGGTTTTATTTTGATAATTTCGTGAAAAAACGTTTTAAAACAAGGAAATTGTTACAGTTCTTGATAAACAATACGGAAATGAATGATTTCTTTTTAATAACACATCAGAATTACGCCTTAAAAAAGCAAATTTAACGGCAGTAACTTTACAATTCAAAGTTGGTAATGCTGACGTCATTATATCTCATTGATGACGTGCACCCATATAGATTTGGCCGTGACTATAATAGAATTTCCAATAAAAGTCAATTGACCATTATGATATGCAAGGAATGCGGTCGATGTTGCCAATGGTAAAACAATAAACTTCCCTATTGGGAACATTCAATTATATTACGTTGGCTACACTGAAATTTTGAATTTCCCGCACAAACTGACATACATTCTAGTAGTTCCCAAAGATAAAGAAGGTAGTTCCAATGTTGTATAATAAATTAAGGTGCGAATTTCAAATGTGGGAATTATTATTATTTATTATTATTAAAAAAAAGATGTAAATTAATTTAGTTTGTGCGGGAAGTTTAAATTTTTAATGTAGCCAACTTAATATAATTGAATGTTCTCAATAGGGAATTTTATTTTTTTACCATTGGTAACATCGACCGCATTCCTTGCATATGGTCAATTGCAAAGGTTTCAAACCAATCCGAAAAAAATTAAAGTAAGTACCGCTCCAATTAACAATGTTACCAACGTGCAAAAAAATCAGTCGATTTTCAGAATTTTCAGTCATTTTACGCAGAGTATGAGTATTAACTATCTGGCAACACTGCTATTAGGTCATAAGAATTCCATTAAGCTGGATCACGGTCTTATATAAGACCGTGAGCTGGATTTATAGTTCTAAAGGTAACGGTAGAGGCAGCGGTAAAGGTAGAGGTAAAGGTAGCGGTAGCGGTATCACCATAGAAAAAGGATATCACTTTCTGCAATTTATAGTTCAGAAAGTAGCGGCAGCGGTACTGGTGGCGCATATGCGTACTTTAATGCAGATTGTAATTTTGTTTGTAAAATTTGACAGCAAAATGTTAAGTTTTTTACGAAAACATGGATTGCGAGGACAATGCTAGCACAGCTGTGCTTCTGGGCCATATGGCGTTGTGCGAAATATTATATATTAAACCCTGCAAAACAATATATTATGTTGTATTGCAGGGTTTAAAGTACGTTATGGTCAAGTACGTCGCTATTAAATCGGGAACGAGCTAAGAAACGCCATTTCCAGTATTAAAATAAAATAAAACTGACCGATAAAGAGTAGTTCTTTAAATACACAAATGACGGTGCCCATTTTTGACAAATTATCAAGTCTGGTTGCCCCTCGCATAAAAACCACAGAACATAAGTTAAAAACTAAACTTACAAGGCGAAACTGCTAACTAAAAACTGCCGTGTGATTGGCTGGAGTAGCGGTTGAGGTAAGAAAAGATGAAAGATGGTCATCTCTTGCCGCTACCTTCTTGCCTCTACCTCTCTTACCGCTACCTCTGACAATATTCAATATTCAATGCCGAACTCGGCTACCGCAACCGCTACCTTTACCTCTACCTTTACCGCTGCCTCTACCGTTACCTTTAAAACTATAAATCCAGCTTTACTCCGTAAGCAATGATTGGATTGGCAACAGTGCTTTTGGTTAATTTAATTTTGGTAGACCTGGCTGTCAAAATTGAAATGTTTTGAATTTGTTTGACGACGGTTATACAATGAATTTTCAATTTAACACAAAGAAAAAAATCCAAAAATGCAGAAACTTCGTCCAAAGTCTGAATGCAAAAATATCTACAAATAAAGAAATATTAATATGGTTTAAGGTAAACAAAAAAACATGCAAAACATACATTTAAAGCCCATTATTTTAGGAACTATGTGAATATTTTGTGAGCCTTATAAATTTAATTGTTGAAAACAGACTTAAACTTAAGAAACATCAAATAGAGACATTATTATTACATCTTAAGCAGCTTTCAACTTTATTATCTTTGTTTATAAACATATTTGTTAGGGAGTCAGAAGTAAAATTAGTGTTAACAGTAAGTTTAACCCTTTGTATATAAATTTGTAATTAAAAATAAATGTATAATAGGAAGCCAGAAATTGCACAATTAAACAATTATTATATTGTTTGGATGCTGTAGAAGACTCATTAACAAATGATAATAAAAATGAAACCACAGCAAATTTTATTGATTGGATGGATAAATCATTGGACAAAATTGCAGAAATGCATGAAGCCAATGGACATGAAATGCAGATTTATAAAGAAGCTAAATTAGTAATTGAAGAAGTTTTATGTCATGCCATGTCAATAGCCCAAGTTGCTCTTCCAGAAGATTGTAAAATGTTAAAGGGTAGTAGTCAATCGGTAATTTAAAATATATCAAGCACCAAAAATGTCCTACACTAATTTTATCATTTTAATTGGCCATATGAGAGCAGATGTGCAAAGGGGCCATCCATAAATGTTGTTACACTGAAAGGCAGGAGGTTTAAAGGACTGTCATGCCTAAGGGGCAAGGGTTTGTTTTTAACTGTTACGTAACAAAGTATATTAAATTGCGTATTTTTTTTATTTTTATTTGGATTATTCTATAAAATAGGTTAAAAAAAGAATCAGATTTTAGCAAAAGGGGTTTGATTATTTAAGTAATCAAACCCCTTTTGCTAAAATTGTCAATTGTTACGAGACCCTTAAAAGGGAATCTTCAAATTTTGTCACAAGAAAGGGGGTGTAATTACATATTGCCAATTAAAAATTTATAAAATAAAAGGGATTAAGATGGTTTGATTTTTGGTACCTAGTTTATTCTACTTTCATATTTAACTTTTAATTTTATAGGTTCTAAATTCTATGGAATCTTTGATAACAGAGATACTTAAATTTGAACCAAATAAGGCGATGGTAAAACTATTTACTGACAATTGTGTTGATCGACTTTGTTCATTGGAAACCAAAGTTAATACAGCAGTACTCAGATTAAGTTTACATGTGTTTTCTGATTATACATCCACTTTTGATCAAATACACAAGTTTTGTTTAAAACCTAAGAACAAAAATCAAATGGATACACTGGACTTTTTGGTGGCCAATTTTGATTTACATGTTGATCGGTTAATGCAAATAGGATTGTTTGCTGTTTCAGTTACAAGTCCCAAAGAAAGTAATATAAATAGTTGGTTTTAATATGTATTTAAAATATTATTTTTTTAAGGGAAAATAAGCATAAAAAGTTGTTTAGCAAGTTTAGAAGGCCTTGAAAGTGAATTGGTGCCTGCTTTTACTACAGTCTTGTTGGATTCATCAATTCACAACATAAATTTTACCTTATTACTAAAAAACCATTGGCTTCAAGAAGCAAAATCCTTGCAACAATTAATATTTTTAATTATTGATCCTTTAGCCTTTTGTCAGGTTATTTATGATGAAAACAAACAAATATTGGAACACATATCTGAAATTGCAAAAAATGGTATCAATATGAAGGTAGTAGAGCCTTTTGTTAAAAATGCAAATGTTTTAAAAGAGTTTTTACCAATAGCAATTAAGGAGAGTGAAAAGGGAAAAATTGATTGTAAAGAATTAAACATTTCCTTTACAAATTTTAAAATAGGTAAATACCTTATTACATAATATTATGTAATGTATTACATTTATTTTTTAGTATTCTATGAGTTGAAAGCAGCATGTAAGGTTTTTTTAACAGAAAACAATTCTACAAACATTGAAATTCAAAAAATTATGAAAAGGTGCAAGATATTAATGAGTTTAATTAAAAACATAAGATCTCATTTTGTTCATCAAGACTTTAAATTTAAAACAGGTACTCGGGTTGTCATAAGATAAGTTTAACAAATAAAATACGTATTGTTTTAGAAATCACTAGTTGCAGTGATGATGACATTCCCAAAACTAACAAATTTATGGACCACCTAGTGAATAGAGGAAGTGAAATTATTAAAAATAGAAGTATTTTATACAAAAGCTCCAATAAAATCGACTTTTCAAACTCTGCAGCACAAAAGATTCAAATTTTAAAAGGTATACCTACGAAAATGATATAAAAAATGTTATGTTTGTTTTTTAGGACAAAAGAATAAGTCTATTCCCTTAAGTAAGTTGGTACATCTAAAAAAGTTCAGCGTTTGGAACGCAAAAGATAATTTGAACAGTACTTTAGATAGCCACATAGAAATATCAAGTAATTCTTTAAGTAATTATACAAGTGATAACATTATTTAATTATTATTTTTTAGATATCTTGAAAGATTTGACAAATTTATCGAACTCCTTAATAAGTAATAAGTGAACATTTTCTTTTAATGTTTTTATTTTTAAGTATATAATACATTTATTTTTGTACAAAATATAATTGATTATTTAAAATTAATAAAATATATAAATACATTTAAAATTACATTCAAAAACGTTTATTTCAATAAATTTTTAATGAAAATTTAAACCCTTTGTTTTTTTGCTTTTATTAAAAATCTTCAACTTCTTCTTTTTGGGCTCTGGTTCTGTTTTAATTCTAAAATTTTTTTAATATGTTAATAAACGTTAATAAAATATAGTATATACTTACTCATTTACTTCAATATTTGAATGTGTACATTTATTAATAAAATTAGTCCAAAATTTCTTCGACTGTCCAAAAGTATTTAATAGTATTTTTTGGTTATCATTATTAAAAGGTGTGTATTTTTCTGTTACCAAGTCATCTATAAGTAATTTTAATTAGATTAACACAGGGTGCCCAGAAAATGGCGCCAAACCTCGTGAAGATGTTCTGAACATAAAAAATCACATATTTATTATATATTATAAAAAACGCCCCATGCCATAACCACCAAACATACAACAAAGGCGGCCCTTTTCGATTACGAGGGCACTGTGTTTTAAAGTAGAATAAGAGGTTTAATTAAAATACCGAATTACTGTTCAGAAAATATTTATTTATATAGATATCGATTTTAAAATTATTTATAATATATTAAGTTATTTGGTTTGTCTCCATAACCCTTATTAGAGGTTACAAGCTTAAATGCTTGATAACTTAGAAACCTCTTTTACGATTTTGTAACTTTTTAAATACTAATTATATGTTATGACGTCAGTCTGTCTTTTTGGGACACCTTATACATTTAAATAAACAAATAAAAAAAAGCAAACAACATGTAGGACTACGTAATTTACCAGGTTACACAACTAAAAAAAATTAAAACAAGCAAAAAAATATATACAAATAATTTTAAAACCAACTAAAAAAATAAATAGGTATACCATTTTGGTAGGTACTTAAATTTTATTTTGCCGATCCTAGGGGCTGAAGAGTATCCAAATGGTTAAAAAAAGAATCTGCAATGTTTTAACGCTTAATTTTAATTCGTAATACCGCCGCAGAGCAGTCGAATTTTGATTAACATTTGGTTTATGCTATTCTATTTATTTATATGAAACAATAAAAAAACAAAAATAAAGTTAAAATTTGTCAATAATATACTTATGATGATTTTAAGGTTTAAATTTTTTGACAAATACTGTATGAAAATACATTTTTCTTTAAAGATTAAATAATAATTAAATAATCAGTATGGCTATGGTTTAGGTTATTTATGGCCTAGGTCGTAAAAATGTATTATTACTACTTTGGACCAATCAGAAAATTTAACTTCTGTTATCTATTTAACCCCACTTTATACTTTTAATATTTGTACGTTTTATGAAAATTGTGCTTTAAACATAAAATGTTTTATGCCATTTAGCCAAGAAGTGTATTTGTGTTCTACTCAATTGTAATCTTTTCTTTCCAATAGAGTGTTCCTTTTACCACGAAAACAAAATTAACAGAATTGTGATTGGTCAGTCAAAAATTGAGTGTACTTTAACCTAGCTCACAACTCAAAGTCTAATTTTTTGTACATGGCAAAGTATAGAAAGTTGACTATCCAGTCTCTATATATCTTTGGATATACCCTTTGAATATAAAACAATATAACGGCTTAGGAAAACACAGCGTTGCCGAGTTTTTTAAATTTAAATGCCTATTAACTTGAAAACTATTTCTTGGAAAAAATTTTAATTATTTTTATCCTTAAAATATCCTCCACTACAGCATGACAACCCTTAGTGTGCCATTTTCGGGACACCCTGTATAGCTGTTCTACAAACTTACGTCTACTAATATTTCCATATTCTATTTTATATTCCTCAATTTCTCTATCCTTTTTTTCCAGTAAATTTGTTATTAACTTATTTTGATCTTCCAAATATTTTATTGTTGTTATCATAGGATAAGTTACCTTCTCTGTAAACTTGACACAAAAGTGGAACTTATTATTATGCAAAAAACAACTTACCATTTTATTGTCACCTATATCCAATATGAATTCAAATTTATAGTTGATGTCCACATCAGATAATTTAGTTTCAATTGTTAAACTTAAGCTTTCTTTTAAATATTTGCATTCTATGGTTGAAGTTTCTAAGTTATTCAATAGTTTTAAAATTAAATCCAATAATTTTTTGTCATCTGTTTTTTCAATTCTGGGATTACATTCCTAAAATTAATTTAAATCAGTAAATCTAAATAATTTTTTTATTTAAATATTTTGATAATTCGTCTCATAGTCGCATTCTGTCACAAGGGAGGGGGAGGTTCAATTTGGACCATTTTTAGTGTCACAAGATGGATGGTCTCTTATAAAAAGCAGGTATGTTGTTTAGTGGACACTCTTAATTTTTAAAAATTTGAAAATTTATAATTTTGAAAATGTGCAATAGATAAAAGTAAAGAGTGTGTCATTTCGTCCCAATGCCCTTATGATAATGGCGTATCTCATATTTAACAATTAAAATTTAAATTATTGTTTGGAAAAAGATGTGATAATAAAGTTCATTTTTTTTAACTGGACTGCGGCAACGTTGCAAATTTAGGGTTTTGGTTGGTAAATATAGTTGTCAAGTTGGTCACATTGATTAAAACAAACTGTGGTGCTTGGATGAGTAAAATCATATAAAAAAAGTAGTTAAATATAGGTTGCTTTACGGCCCAGAAGAGAAGGTATTCCTAGCGGATAATAATCTTCGCTTTGAAAAGAATTTATATAAAAGAAATTAAAGTTTTTTGTGAACGTAAATGTTGTCCAATGGTAAATAATGTGAAAATAATGTGTGATGTAACATTTATAAAACCAAATTCGTTACTTTTTTATTCCAAAAATTTCCATAAGGTGATGTACTTTTTCTTCCATTGTGGCATTTGGCATAATTTCATCAAAATGAAGTTTTGCCCTCAAAAGGGCTTTTACATTCGAATTCGTTGCTATTATTTTTGGCATAATTATCTTTTTATTTATAATTGACAAGTAAATTATCAATAATAAATATTATTGTCAATTTGACAGTGTCAAAGTATTTAATTAAATTCTTTAGCAGAAGTTAAATTTTTAAATGCTAAAAGTCAAACTGGCATAAGCCACCAACCTAACAAAAAAACACAAGTCCAGATAAAAAAATGAACTGTAGTTAATATAATGTAATACCCTTAGGGCCGGTTTTTCAATTAGGGTTTAAACCTTCGTTCAAGGGAACTTAGATCAGTTAATGAACTCAGTTCACAGTCAAATGAGTTTTTCAATGTCGACTCAACAGCAGTTCTGTTGAACTTAGATCAGTGGTGTCAACGTTAAGTTGGTACAACCGAATTTAGTATACGCCTACATTAATATTAGTTAAAACTGTCATTTTGACAAAAGGATTTTGTGTTTGCTTTTGGAGTTTTGTTTATCTGTGCTGTTTTAAAAAGTTATAATCTGTGCGAAAGGGTGCTTTAAAACAATTTACTATTGTTAAAGAACAATAATTATTATTATTATGAATAAAAATCGTGCTGCCAACTTTACCTCTTTTAAGTAGGAATTATTTGTATGTATTTCGTTTTATATTATAAAATGAATTTGTCGTTTTTTGTTACATGTGATGAATTTTACTAAAATCTATTACCTATTCAGTAATTATTTTTATAACTAACCTATTGGTCGGATTTGCAATAACTGTTCTAATTAAATCCACTATCCTACGTAAAAAAGGTTTGGAAAACCGAAATTTGGCAAAAAATCATCATTAATCCACCTTTCAAAATGATTAGGTCTTACCCGTGGCCTGTGCACACGAAATTGAATATTATTTAGGAATTCGCCAATTTCCTCATCATCCTCACTAACTACCTCAAACATATCCATTGGTTTATTATAACAGCAGATTACAAAACAAGAAATAAACAACGTAATACACAATAAAGCAGAGAAAAATTAAGTTATGTCAAGTTGAACTTCGTTTAAACGGCCAACAGTGACAGTTCATCTTTTGATTTAGTTTAAACCAAATTCAAGCTTGAACTTTGATTGAAAAACGGCATATTTTGTTTGAACTAAGTTCAAATGCTGAACCAAGTTTAAACTATGATTGAAAAACCGGCCCTTAATCCTGCCATAAAAATAAACCTAATTCGCAATAAGTTGAAATTCAGCACAGAAGGTATTATTTTGTCCCTTCCATGGTGGCAGTTAATGTGTTAAGTAGCATACCTAAGTTTTAATACCTATAAATATTAAAAAGCAACAAATTTTATTCTTACTATAAACTTCTTTGACATTTCCTCAATTGTAAATATTTTAAACCAAATGGTCTTTAAATTGGTTACACTTGTATGCATTTGGTCTTCCACATTTTCCATATTTACCATAAAAACTTCATCTTGCCAAGAAAATGTTTTCCACATTTTTGCACTATACCAAATTTAAGCTAAAAAATACAATGTAGTTTTTTCAGGAAAATTTTCCTAAACCCTTCAGGGTTTAGCAAAGTATTTGTTAAATTATACTACTAACCTAAAATATACTACTAACAATTGAGTTTAACTAAACTAAAACTGAAAACAGAGATAACCTCAGAACGTTATTGCTTACTTCATTAATAAAATCCATATAACAAAATACCCTGATAATAATATTCAGGCTGATACCTATAAAAAAAAGTCTTTATCCCACAATTTGTTTTGAACTACTTGTGCAATGTTGCCATTTTTTAAGGCAGAGTCTACTGCGCCGCTGCAGCGCGCTGGAAGAGTTTTGAAAATTTTATTCCTGCATCGTCCTTGCCGTTAGTGTGTGTTGCCAGTACCATGATAATGGTATTTATACAATTTATGTACCATTTTTTACGATTTTGTATTATTATACAGGTGCCATTATTTTTAGACTGAATTGTTTTTGTAAAATATAATGCTAATTTAGTAAATATGTGGCCTCCATTATTGTGGAAAATGTATTTCGTGTTACCTATACATACACTATGCGCCTTGTAGGCAGGAACCTGGACCGTACCGTTTTTGGACAGAAAACCGAACCGGAACCGGTATTTATTTGTGGACCGGAACCGTAACCGAACCCATATTATTTTTAAATGTAACCGAACCCTTTAAATTTAAAACGGGTTTTTAGGTTATTATCGGATTTAACTTAATTTATTTTTGCAAAAATTAAAAAAATAATTATTTTGTTTCGTTAAAAAAATATAACAATATAAATCTATAAATTATACATTCTAGCACAAGTATTGTTAGGGGTTCCTGCGGTGTTAAAAACAATTGTAAATGTTGTATATATAATTATTGTAAATGTAAATTAAAATAACTTTATTGAAAAAAGAAATATGTCATGTGTGAACATATACCTATAACTATAGTTATAGGTATATGTGTGTAAACATAAAACTAGGCAACACTGTAATTAAAAAACCCCCACTACAAAGTATCCTACCGACTGTGCCATGAAGTAAATAATACCAGAGTAGGTTAAATACTGATTTATTAAAATGACTGGTTTGTTCTATGATGACTAGCACATAAATAATACTAGTATTATTTCTATGATGACTAGCATGGGTGGTAGGTGCATTTCTAGTGGGGATTTATTATTTAAAGTGTTGCCTATAGTATTATGTATATATACATAATACTATAACATATAACAACTGCAAAATAAGTAAGTAAAGCCTGATTTATAGATTGTCTTCCTTCCTTCCTCCCGTAAAAGATGAACAATACGAAAACCGTAGTGCCGTTTATAGATTCCCGTACGGGATTGTATTGTTCATCTTTTACGGGAGGGAGGAAGGAAGGCAATCTATAAATTAGGCTTAAGTGTTAAAAGCCTGTTTTCTGGTCTCAAATGTTTGATTTTTGAAGATAAGGAAGAACAAAAGCTTAAAGTTCAGTTCTTTATTTTTGGATAACTTATTTCAAATATAAATTTTCCAGTTTTTCAATCACAAGACCAAGAATAAAAGTAAATAAAAAGAGAATGAAGAGCCTAAAATTGAAGAACCTGATTTGAAAAAAAAGAAGAGAGCAAGTAATTTAATTACATGCCAAAAAAAATATTTTTTTATTTTATAATTTTAGTACTTATAAGTAGGTACCTATATATAGGTACCTACTTATAAGTACTAAAATTATAAAATAAAAAAATATTTTTTACCATGTATAAATAAGTACCTATAGGTACTTATTTATACATGGTAAAAAATTTGGAACCGAAAAAAACCGTATGGACCGAAAAGATTAGTCCGAACCGGACAGAAATATTTTTTTGGAACCGTAACTGAACCCGAACCGAAATTTGTCGTTCCCTGCTTGTAGATAGAAAAAAAAATGATATGAGACCAAAGAAGCAAGATAGTTGTTCTGTGATTCCCGGAATTTCTGAATAATGTATGTTTAGCGTCCTGTCACGGAACATCTGTGGTTTGACAGTTTGAGAATAATATACTTACGATCAAGAAAACTTTCTGAGCTAATTAGCGTCTATAGTAATCAATAGTCAATTGGTAAGTTAAGATTTAAATGCAAAATGTATACCATTTTATATAAAACTTGGGTGTACCATTAAATCGAGAACTTGGAAAATCTTTTTGTTTTGCTTCACCAGATTGTAAACGCTAGTTCATTAAGTACCTACCTTAGAAGGTAGGCAAAAAAAACTGAAATGAAATCAAAGAAGCAAGCAACCAATAAAAGTTGTTCTGTGATTCCCTGAATTTTTGAATAATGTATTTTTAGCATCCTGTCACAGAACTTCTGTGGTTTAACAGTTTAAAAATAATAAACTCACTATCAAAAAAACTTCCTGGACTAGACGTCTATGGTAGTCAATAGTACCTACTATTGGCAAGTTAAGATCTATCGATATAAAAGCAAAATGTGTACAATCCACACAACAAGGTCTGTTCGATCTTCTTAAAATACGAACGAAAATCGGTACTGTTATGCGCACATACGGCTATATTTGATTTATTTGCCGCCGTTAATTTAAATTACCCAAAATAGTAATTCTGTCAACAGGCATGGAAGATGTAACCAAAGTTTTTTTTTAATTTTTAAAGAAACTGGAAATGTTTTTTAACATTATAAGATTTGTAAAATGTGAAAACACTAATTCTGCCATTATTCGAATAATGCTGTATGGTAAAAACTTGCAAGATCTTGCAAGTGTTTACCATACAGCATGCCACTAAATAAATAAATTTATATATAAATAGGAGAAACATTTTACCATAGTTTTACTTACTGGTTGAACAATATTTTTTGCAAAATTGTAAACAATAAAAATGGCGACTAACGTATGAATGTATACTAGGTTGCCTAATTTTGTGATTTTTAACATGCGCGAATAAAGATCGAACAGACCATTAAATACCATTAAATCGAGATCTTGATACCACTTTTTGTTTTGTTTCACCTGTCAACATTGATCAGAATGTAAACGCTAGTTCCAAAGTTCTTTGGCTAGTTCCTTAAGTAGGTAAGTTTTTAGCCGTGCTAAAAAGTTCGACGGAAGTCGCCAATGGCATTGTTACGGCCTTGTCTTTGATAAATAATATATTGCAATATATTATTTATCAAAGACAAGGCCGTAACAATGCATAAGACAAGGACAGCAAGCGTAAATACCGCCATATACAACAACCATTCTTGGCTTTAAGTCTGATTTATAGTTCTAAAACGTAGCCGTAGCCGTTGCAGTTGCAGTTGCAGTAAGTAGCTAATTTTTACAATTTATAGTTCAGCGCGTAGCGGTTGCAGTAGTGGCCGCGTAGTGACATTTGTTCTGTTTACAAACATTTCAAGTATTTTGTTTATTTGGTTTAGTTTACATAGTTTAGTGACATTTGTTCTGTTTACAAAGATTTCAAGTATTTTGTATCGGTGATTTTCGCTTCGTTTATTTTGTTTATTTGGTTTAGTTTACTTATAAACATGGTTTGGGAGCCTTGTTTTTGAGTTTGACAGTTTTTCTGCAATATCTGTAATTTGATTGGCTGTAGTAGTCGTTGCCGCAAGAAAAGATAAAAGTTGGTCATCTCTTACGACAACTTACGACAACGACCTTGGATGCTACTGCAAAGATCCTCCAGCCAATCACAGACTGTTTTGCCCCTACTGCAACTGCAACGACTACGGCTACGTTTTAGAACTATAAATGCTGGGGCGGCGGTGCAGAAATAAAATTTTAAACACGACGCCGGCGGCGTAGTAGACACTAGCTTTTTTAAAATATCTGTTTAACATAACCTTACTAATTCTGTTTAGCTGTCACCGGCAATTTTTTAAAATTGCCACTGTTTTAACTATAAAAATGGAATTAAGTGATGATTTAGTGACCGTGCAAGGCATTTTAGTAGGCCTGATGAGAAATACTGGTGAATTTACCAGAATTAATCATAGAGGAGGTAATAGAATTTTTCTTTTTTTTGTATTTGTGTTTTCATATATGCTTACAGGAAATGAAGACAGAATTTTAAATGTTGTAATTGAAATGGAAAAATTTTTGTCCTCAAAAAACTATGTTAAAAAAAACAAAATAAATAAAACATTTACCAAAGAAGTTGAAGATATTGTTATGTTTTTGACTATAAACACAAATTTTAAACATCATCTAAGTTTGGAGGGTTATTCGCATTTAACAAATATTATGCCACAGCTCTCTAAATGCTTATTATCTAATATAGTTTATGGGTTGGATCTTTGTCAAAGTTTGTGTGCTGTTATGAAAAAATTACCATTGAATATTGTCATCGAGCTTTTGGAAGAAATGGTTATTTGTCTTAAAAAGTCAGACCCAAAAGTTCATTTGGAATATGCTTTTATGTTTCTTACCTGTGTATCAGAAATTCTATACTCCACAACATATAATAATGAGGTAAATTTAAGTTTAAAGCGGTTTAAAGTTTTTTATTGAGGTACATACCATTCTGTCCCATTTAATAATTTTTTGAGTCCAGTCAAGGTCTAAAAGGGACTGGAAAAATATTAAAAAAATTACTTAATAATTATTAGCAGTTTTTCTGATTTTAGTTTTATAAATTTTGTACATTGAGGGCTGGTTTATCAATGTTTGGTTAAAGTTGCAGTTAGTTATCTGGCAGATAATTAATCTGGAGATTAATTATCTGCCAGATAACTAACTGCAACTTTAACCAAACATTGATAAACCAGCCCTCAATGTACAAAATTTATAAAACTAAAATCAGAAAAACTGCTAATAATTATTGGAGCCATGGATACCATTGTTCTCACAACAATCAATATGGAATTTAACTGCCAAATAGACTAACTGGAACTTAACCAGAGATTTATAAACTGGCCCTGAAAAAGCTTAGTTAAAGGTTTTTTATAGAAAAATAAAATTGTAACAAGAAATTATGTTAAACATTTTCTTAGTTTTATAAGAAGCTTCCCTTTTTAATAATTAAAATTTTAATTATTTTAAAAATGATTGAGATAAGGACATACAACTATTATAATAACTATTGGAACCAGGTAACCTACTTCTGAAAGTGAAAATCCAGAACAATTTTATAAAAACTAAAAAAGTATCTACTAATAGTAGACTACTATTATCAAAAACGCTTTAGTATCCTATGGGAGCTTACCTGTTGGGCAAAGCATTAAGCAGCCTATAGGCTCAGAGACACACTTATGATAGGGAGAGGACCCCACTGGGATCTGTCAGGCTCAAAAATCATATAGCTGCTGGGGCCTTATGCAAGTTTTCCATTGGTTATGTACTTTATATGTTTATATGTTCACCACAAACCTTTCAATTATAATGATTAATATAAAAATTTTATCATATATTATATCACGAGAACTATGAATTTAATCGGTTAAACTAGGCTCAGTAGTTTTTTGTTTGGTTTTTGTTGGAAAATGTTGAATGCAAAATAATTTAATAAAATCACGAGACCACGTAGCGGTCGAGGGGTTTTATTTTTAATTATTTTGCATGAAACTATTTTCCAAAAAGAAAAATCGAATAAAAAACTTACTGAGCATAGTTTGACAGATTAAATTTATAGGTTGAGTGATATACGTCTAGATTATTTCTTGAATTAAAGGAAACTATTTAACAATTCATAAAATCTGACGTATGTGTCAAAATTTATAAATATTTTTTTAAAGAAAATTCCATTAATTTAAGGTATGTAATAAGTAATAATTGATATTTCGTAAACTAGATAACTTATTTTTTATTGTTTTTAAAAAAATGTTTGTTAAAACTTGTAAATAACACCATAAAATCGTAAACAAAAATCCAATATGGAGGCTAAAATTTAATCGCTGTTAAATAGGTCTAGTGATTTAATCGCTTATTTAATAGTTATTTATGTATTAAGGGCATAATAAGGTTTTTATGGTCCGAGGCGCTATTTCGAGCCCGAGCGCGTTAGCGCGAGGGCTAGAAAAGCGTCGTAGGACCATAAAAACCAGTTATGCCAGCAATGCATACAAAACTTTATGCACGATTAATATATTATTATTTTTAATATATTATTGTTTTTAAAGACGTTTACGTCAAAGAATTTTTGTTATAATTGTCATATTATAATGTCAACTGACATCAGTCAGTTTTAAAGTTTAAAAATAAATGAAATTGAGGAAGCAGCTGAAAAGGCGAAAAATTGCGGCCTGCTGCCGGTAAAATCAAAATCTTTATACGAAAAAACTTACTTCGAATATATCAAATGGTGTAACATTGTTGTTTTTAATTTTTGACGTTTCATTATAGCCCGCTGGGCCATAATAAAGCCCGCGGGCTATAAAAAGACGTTTACGTCAAAGAATTTTTGTTATAATTGTCATATTATAATGTCATCGTGCATAAACGAAATTTATTCAAAAATTCAAGGCTTTTGATTGGTTCATATTATAATGAGGGAAATAATCAAAGAAATTTTTCGGTTTCCGGTAGATTTGAAAAAAATATTACTATTTCATGTCTTTTTTTTTAATCTGGTAATATTGCTTAAGTGAAGGAATATATAATAGCTTTGTTAAAATATTTATTTAGAAGTGTTTAAATTAACAGGAAGAAATTACAAAACGTATAATGTACTTTTAATAATAATGATTTAAAATTTTAAGTGGCTATTTTCAAAAATTTTCACTGTTTAATTTAACAAATTTTGAATATCACTCTTGCAACCGAGGAGCGATCTTTTTAAATATAAACAATACAATTTTAATGCTCCCAAAGCATCATCTTGTATTATTTCAATGAAAAATATTTAAACTCATTGAAGAACCTTTTAAAATTGTAGTAAAAATGTTTTACTGAATTTTTATTGCGGCATAATTAAAGGACTGTACAGGGTGTCTCAAACTCAATGCTCCAACCTTATTGTGAAAAAAATTGTGACTTTAAGAAAAAATACTGTTAGCTATTCCTAAATTAGGAGATTTGAAGAGTAAATTTAGCAAACAATAAATAAAAAACGATGGCTACGCTCGGCGCCGCGACGCCGACGAAAGTATTTTTTTCACGAACATTATTATGATCTAGATTGCCATGCCTTTTTGACGTTACTCTATAAAACAAAATAGTTTTTTAAATAAAGTGTCAAACAATTAGTTTAAACTTGTAACAAAGTTTGGTTATTACTTTTTTCTTATTTTTAACATTAATGAAGTCATCATGGTATCACATCAAGAAAAAGTCGATATGCTTTTAATACATCGTCACCTGAGAATTATAGTGTTCTATCTGCATTTTTTTTTAAATTGAAGTTAGTCTTGTTTTAAGACTTAAAGAAGCATATTGTTATATCTATATATAATTGGGGTAGAAATTGTATAGTTTAAGGCGTGAGGCAAATCGTAATTCCAGGGCAGCACTTCGGTTATATAGACATAGTATCCAAATAGAATAGTTCCCGACCACAAAATGTTTAATAGATTGGAAAAAATCTTAGTCAAAATAAAGGTGCCTTTAACATAAGAAAAAATGTTCAGATACGCAAACGAGCCCGGAGTGATGAAGCTGTCGCACAAATTTTTGAAAATAGACAAAAAAGCTATTTGTGTATTAAGAGCGCTAAGTGATACAGAAGTTTGACGCGCGACGCATAGCGAAGCGCGGCTATCTCGCGAGAGCGGAAATGTCACTTTGAGCTCGAATTACATACAGGATTTTTTGTACAACCGGTGTTTGGTAATAATTATTATTATAATTTGAGGTTATCAACAATTATTAATTAATTAATAATTGTTGATAACCTCAAATTTGACGTTTGTGTCAAAAGTCGCAAATACACTAAACGTTTCTTTATTATGGTTTCCATGGTAACTTGCTTCTTGGAAAAATTGATAAGAGAAATGCTTGCAGAATATTAATTAAGAAAGCGTAAAGTTGCACTTTACATAATAAAGAGTGTCCAAATTTGACCCTCCGATTTAATTTAATAATAAAAAACAAAAAACTATTGATATATTATTATTTTATGATTTTATTTTTAAGTTTAAATGTTGCGGTTAATAATGAAAAATGATATCCGGCAAGTGACCCCCTCTACTTTTTTGGCAACTACTAACCGCAAAGTTTTTATTTGACATATGTCACTACAGAAAAACTGTCAATGAAGATTACTATAGTAATCTTCATTGACAGTTTCTATAGATATGGCAGTCAATTTAAATCGGAAGGTCAAATTTGGACACCCTTTACAAGATGATGCTTTGGGAGCATTAAAATTGTATTGTTTATATTTAAAAAGATCGCTCCTCGGTTGCAAGAATGGATTGGTAGATCGGGCCCAGTAAGTTGCCAGATTTAAGTCCATTGGATTTTTTCTTATGGCAAACATTAAAAAATATTGTTTATCAAACTCCTACAAATAACATGGAACATCTTAAAGAAAAAGTTAGAGATGCTTGCAGGTCATTTAATGCGGAAACAATTTTTAGAGTTACCAGTCGAGAAGTTAGACAACAGTATGAAAAATGTTTGGAAGTAAATGGTAGTCACTGTGAGCATCTTATATAATAAAACTGTTTTATTTGTATTTTTTAATAAATAATAATTTTAAATCTTAGCTTTTGTCTAGCTGTTAAGATATACTGGAGTATATTAAAATCATAAATAAAATTGTGATAACTTCCAAACTATAATAGATAAAAATAAAAAACGCTGAGATTTCAATTAGGTATCCAACCGTAGTAAAAAAAGTATGTTCGTCGAAAAAATACTTTCGTCAGAGTCGCGGCGCTGAACGTCACCATCATTTTTTATTTATTTTTTGCTAAATTTACTCTTTAAAGCGCTCAATTTAGAAATAACTAACAAGGAAAACCCTCAGAATTTGCGTGTATAATAGAATTATTATTATAATTAATATTATTTTAGAATGAAGAATTTATAGAAAAAATAAATGAAGTAACAAACATAATACTTTATAATCTAACTGGTTTATATTCAGACAAAATGAAAACATGGAAAGTGGAAAAAATATATGAGCATATGGGATATAGTCTGATAAAATTATTTGATTTACTTTTGTATTGTGAAAAAGATAATATTTTACATAGACAGTTTCTTGAAAATATTTTGAAAACCAGTTGTGCAATTTTAAAAAATGTTACAATTGATGTTTATTGCACTTGGGCAGAGGTAAGCAAAATATACTTTTGTTATTTAAATCAATGATGTTTTTTAGATTGAAGAAGATGATCAATCCTTGCAAAATAAAATAGCTATACAAGGATATTCGGTTTTAGAAAGTTTTCAAAAATACTCAGCTGCCAAGGAACTAGTCACAATTCTAGCTAATCTGGCTAGAAAACCAAAATCTTTATCGGAACAAATTCACGAAGCAGATCTTAAAACAACGATAAAAAAAGTTAACAAAGAAGATGCAGATCAAAAGTACTGGTTTAAAGCATTACTAAACACACAAGTTTTTAAAGATAAAGATACAATTGAATGCGCGAAAAAATGGGCTCACTTGTCCAGTGCAGACGATGTGTCACGCCTTCTAGACTTAAGTGTACTGGGTTGTGACGATAATGGTAAAGAGCTGATAATAAAATGTGCTTCTGTGCTGAGCGCAGAAGATTTAATTTTGACAATAACCAGGCATTTTTATAAAAATGGTAGTAATCATATATTAAATGATAACATAAACAACCAGATGGTTTTGTTGTTCAACAAATTTAAGCGCATGGAAAAAGATGGTTGCATTAAAGATATTGCTTTGCTTGTGCTGCAAAATCCTAAACAGTTATTTGCGTATATTTATAAGGAATGCATCAAGGATCAATATTACTCAGAGTTGTTGAAAGAATGTTTCATTTCTTTGAAAGAAATATCACAAATTGAAAAAATTGGTTTTAATATTTTTAATGAAATTTACAATGAAAGTAGTCTAAATGAGCAAAATGTAAATAATTTTGCAGTCCTATTAAATATGCTTTTGGATATAAAATATTTTACAGATAATACTGTTGTTACACAATTTTTTTATGTTCATTTGAATACAAATGTTGCATTGGATGAAAACAACAATGTTTTACACTTACTACAGCTTTTTAATGTAATTTTTTAATCCAAATAATTATTCAATTTTAATTATTGAAGCTTTTTTAGGATCTTAAAATTAAAATACAATTAAATGAATCAATTAAAGGGTTTATTAAGCTACTTCTTGATATCATGGGGAAAAGCAGATGCAGATTTTTGGATTTTAATCTCTTAAAACAAAGCATTGTTAAATGTGTTGTTGAAATTTTAAATAATCATTGTGATTATTATATGAATCAAATCTTTAAAGGTACTTAGTACCATCTACTTTATTTAACAGTATAACTTTTTCAATTTATATTTTTAGTTGAATTAAGTGAGAACGCAGATAAGTTTGTAATATTTTATTACACACGTCTCACAAGGGATAATTCAGTTTCATTTTTATCTCAACTGTACCCAAATTTTGATGATAAGCTTTCTGCAATTGCAACCAAATTAATACAAGTAAGTGTATTGCTTCCAAAGTAAACTGAAAATTGGGCCTATAATGCAAGCAATTTAATAAATTAAAATTAATTGACAAATTAACATTGTTGAAAACATACAGGGTGTTTATGCATACACCATGGTGTAGGGGTTTAAAACTTTAAGGAGATGTCACATATGATAGTAGAACACTGATGGGCAACTTTAAAACTAATATCATCATTTGTTCCTACTATCATAGTAGTACTATATAGTATATGCCAGTCTTTCATAAAGTCTGATCCTGCATTAAACCAGTTACTCTAAAAACTTTTATGAAAATGTCAAAGTTAAATCACTCTTTTATTGATTTTTTTCTTCAAAATTCCAGTACTTTATTACCTTGCCACACTAGTTCAAATTTCGATTCCTAGACCGTTAACGCCCTGGGCCATAGACATATTTTCTTCTATAAGCCCTCTATAGTAAATTTTGGATTGCATAAATAAACCAAGCAGCAAAATTAACATCATTGGTTTAACCAATCATGGTTGCTGAAAATATTTTTTTTACCTATGTTTTGTACTATACTCGGAGAGTTAAAACAGGTATTTTTAGTTGTTTAGTTTTTTGTCACTGTATTGGTGCGTCAGCCTATTTTGCATTTTACAGAGATTCACGATAATCTCTTTAGCTTCTTGGTTTTTAAAGATATTTAATTCAAACAAAAACCACGTTAAAGAGACCAAAATGTATGTTTTCTGTCCAGTATTTATAGGCCTACTTAATTGTAAATATAAAAATAAAACCAAGGCCCTTGAATATTTGTTGTGGATATAGTCTTCAAAGGATTATATACCCATCAGTCTATACTCATATCTTTTAAAAACCATGGAGAAACTTGTGGACATATTTATTAGGGATGGGGCACTAAAAAGAATGCTCATGCATCTTAATCAACACGCCTACAGGACCGCCATGTCGTCGGAGACCGCTCTTAACAGCCTTGTGACAAGATTGGATGGATCCGTCCCAAAAAGATGGGCACGTTTCTAGACATGGAAGGAACATTCAACAATAACACCTTCGAATCGATAAATAAAGCCGCAGAGGGAGAATATCATTGTCAAATGAATCCGTGTTATGCTTGAAAGCAGAATCATTACAAGCTCGATTGGAAGTACGGGGATCAACTCAACAGAAGCCAGAGACTGCCTGCTTGAAGGGGTACCATCACCCTTGCTGTGGTGGTACCTATATAAATTCAAGGATACGCTTGTCATTGTCGTGCCTGGAAGGGTACCAAACACAAATACTTCCACACATATACCGCTTATTCGCTATATTTTGTATAGATGACCTTGTTTCCTTTTTAAAATGGAAATTTGTCGATTTGCGGTATCATTTTACCTTATGCACATAGTCAGTTCATAAGTGGGGAATTTAAAATATATGATAACGCAGACATAGTAATACGTTTACACTGTAAGTGAGAATCTCACTTACCCTGCTTTTAAAAGCAGTGCTTTAACCCCTTTAAATGTAAACAGTCTCAGTTAGAAATCATTTGTATATGTGTGAAATAACAGTACCTATAAAGTGTGTTCCCAGATCGGATTTCCAATAGGAAAAACTTGTTTAGACCTGATACAGCTAAACAAAGCACGGATTTGGGATCTACGACCAAAAATTATGTTTTCCTGTCCGATCCTGATATTTCAAGAGTTGAAAATTTACCTACAGTGTAATTAATACATGTTGCACCCAAATATTGCACACCGCATTTTAATTAATGCAAATGGCACAAACTCAAACACAAACAAGATAACGCAACACAAAACCAATAATTTAAGCACAAACAGAACAGGCGTAGTGTTAGCAATAACAATAATAGAAACACTGAAAAGTAATTCGAACCTTATCGAACTCAAAAACAACAAGTTTAACAAAAAAAACTGGAATTTAACAACCAACAACAACGCAAAAACCAAAAGTTAGCACTAGATAAGCACGTTACATCCACCTTACCGATTTAAAAATAGCTCAACGAGTGACTTCGTTCCCGCTAAATTAGCCCCTCCCTACATGCGCACCATTCTATCTTAACGACTTGCCTGCATGGGCATAATTGGAGCTTTTAAAACCACTTTAAAGTCGTTTTCCCTTCAAATGTGCCAGAACCTGCTATAGGAGTTGCTGTCTGGTGAAAGCCAAAATCAGGAACTGGAATAACAACCCTGCTTAAAATACCCTATAGACACCTATACAAAATAATCTATCGGGCGCTACCGGATTCAATATGTGCATTTGTCCATGGTTTTTTCCGGATACGGCCATATAGAAAATGTATAGGAAATTACCTATAGGCACACCATAACTTTTACATTTTCCCTATTGAGACCGATAGCAAATAACTCAATGAAGGATATATAGGGATATCCCTATAGGCCTATAGAGCACCCATAAAACATTTGACAAAACTTTATTAAAACCTATGGGATCCTATGGGAAAAAAAGTAATTTCTACATTTATGTGTATTTTTCCTGTTGAAACCAATAGCAAATAAATCAAGGGTGGATATCCCTATAGAACAACCATTAATCCCAACTATGGGTCCTATACATACCGATACACCCTATAGAAACACCATACATTCCGATACAAATAACCAGTTCCAGAACAAATGGCGGGAACAACAAGGCCTCAGACAGTCAATGAAGAAAATAAAGCATACCCGACCAGAGCGGGTCGGCGCTTTTCTTAAAACCTGCGGGCTCCACCAAAAGGGTGTTTGCATAATGGGGTGTATGCTGCCTGCAGTTGCTCTCCTTTCAATCAATCAATGCTACTTAATTTTTAATATTTAGGTCTTTAAATATTGCTATTCGTCTAACATCGGGTATTTTCAATCTGGAATATCTCAGAAGGGACCCTTTAAAAATCCAAAAGTAACAACATTCTTTAATTGTTTTGTAATATGTGATTAAAATTTCATCATGGAAACTTAACTAGTTTTTTAGTTACACAGGTTGCAGATCGCAGAACATAAGCTTGCGCAAAGCACCCAGCTGACAAAAGAACCTTGCTCCATCGCCACGTCGCCGGGTTCTTTGCGCAAGCTTATGTTCTGCGATCGGACCCCTGCGACATTTGTAGACCCGGCTTAAATAAAAATAACAATGTTTTTATAGATTTTTACTGTAAGCAATGTGATTCACTTAATTTATTAAGCACTATTATATTATTTTAGGTAATGTCTAAAAATTTTTTTAATATTTAAAGCCTTATGCCCGTTTGCACCAACGTGGGTTAGCATTTTAATCGTGATTAAATTGGCTAATCCAGAAAACTTCGTTGCACCATTCACTTAACCGTGGTTAAGGGGTTGGTTAAATAACCGGTGAATAGTCGAGCGGTTAGTATTTAAATCATGATTAGAAGGCGCCATTGCTTGGCAAAAAAGTATTCTAACCTCATTTTGCCGTTTTGAAAGGTTGACTTCTCTTTTTATACCTTTATTAAAAAATTAATGAGTTACAATTTCCTATTGTGGAAGACGACGACATGAAGTGGTCGATTTCATTGAAAACGGTTTCGCGACAAATTTATGAAAGGCATTCGTACTTTGACACTTTGGACCAAAGCACTTTTCGAAAACGGTTTCGGTTGACGAAGAACTGTGTGTATCAGCTTCTTGTGAGGATCGAAGATCAATTGGAGTATCCTACAGATAGGTCAGTGTAAATAATTTAGTTTTCAACTGCAATCATTCGTCGTTTTAGAAATAATTGTGTTACGCCGATTAATCAGTTATTAACATGTCTTCGTCTCTACACAACAGGGGGGTGGCATTTGGATTCAATTGGTGACTAGGTATATGGGAATGCATTTGTCTTCTGAAGCTATCCCAAGATTATACAACGAATATATGCGTTTTTCAACTAGGACAAATTCCTAATATTTATGACGACCAAAAAGATATCGCGGCCGGTACGCTGGCCAGAAGACAATTTAAACTATTATTTTGCTAATTTGTAATGTACCTACCGAATAATTAAACTATTGAATAACGAAATTTATTTATTCAACTCTTTTTTCTTTAATTTGCAATGTCCATTATTTTACACACCGCTTTAGGCAAAACGATATACCCGTTAAATAATTATTCTACAGATGACAAGTTTTGACGTTTTTTTTGGCGTTTGAACGCCACAGTGGTACGAACCTATCAGCCAGGGGGGTGAAACATAAGCGGGGGAATTGGAAACATGACTCCCCCACGATGCGTTGCCAGTTCGTGCACAGATTACAGTAACCTGTAATTAAAACAAAACGTACCACCTTCGGCAACGTCGTAAAACCAATAATTGTTTAACTGTCAAAGCAAGTTCTGTTTATTATTATTAAGTAGGATTTGTGCAATTTTATGGTACATTTTCTTCATAGAAAAAGTATATTGTTTCCAAAAAGTAGATTGTTTCCAAGTTTTATGCCTTATGGGTTTGATATTTCATATAATATATAACATATTATGTTATATATGTATGTAGTTTGAAAACGTAAGTATTTTGTTTAAATGTAGGTACCTATACAGGTATGTATGTTTGTATGTAGGTATAACTTTTAAAATAAGACGAATTAAACTGCTTGGCTAAAAAACCGACAAGTTTTAAATATAGTACCTATAGGTGTTTTGTTTGTATGTAGGTCTAGTTAAATTAAATGGGTATTATAAGTTTATTAATAATAAATTATAAATAAATTATTAGCCAAGTTTTACTAATTATTATATTTTAATAATATTCAATTTCATTTTAAATCTACTTTGTAAAGATCTACCTACATATTAAAAGGCTTTTATAACCTTTATATCTAATAAATGTACCTAATTTACATTATGTACTTGTACAGAATATGTATTTTCTTAAAGCAGAACTATTTTAACTATGTTGATTTTCATGACTAAGGACAAAGAATAGGTAGTTAGTTCTGCTTTAAGTAAATAAGTAAAATGCTGGTGCATTTTTGTAAAATCTTTGAAAAAACATTTTGAATTAAATTTAGCATTGGGTAATATTTTTATTATGACTATTATTATTAATATTAAAATTTTACTAATGATAATGATATTTTTTTAGTTTTACTTGAAAAAAGGTTTCACAAACTTTGTGCCACAAAGAAAGTTGGTGATTTCAAGTTTTATGATATTTTGGGTCCAGGACATATAGTTTTAAAACGAAGTTGGAAGTTGGAAGCCATGGGACACCAACCTGAGAACATAAACCATACTTACATTCATGCATGAATTCAACAAAATCTTTGAATAAAGTTGGAATCAGGAAAATATGGAAAACCAACCTAAGAACATAAATCTTAATTACATAATTGCAATACAAACTACAATTAAAGTGGGAATATGAAATCTGCTGTAAACCAATCTGAGAACATAAACAATCTACAATACAAATCAACTCTTATAAATCCAAGCTAATAACTTCAAATGGGACCCAATCTACTATTGAAAAACGTTGGTATTCGAGTTGCATAGTAACTTTTGTAAATAAAAACTGCATGCTATAGCATGTATACAGAATCTTTATTTGAAGAAAGAAGCTACTTTTGCAAGATGTTGTTCAGTAGTTAACTCCTGTGAACTACAAACTATAATCAATCAAATTGAATAGGCTTTAAATTATACAACGTTTTCTATGATAAAAATTCCAAAATATGTTAATCCTTAAATTGAATTTTTGTAATGCATTATTTTTTAATATCTTAATAAAAGATATTTTTGCAAGGAAATAATATTATTGTCATTATATTTTTGTAAATACATACTTTTACTTAAAATATATATATATATGTATACATATATAATGCATATAATATTATTTAGTTAAGAATATTAGTTTTTTGTTTAAATTTTTATGGGGTAGTATTTTTATTCTTAAATTTGTTTTTAATTCCACTAGATCCTGTACTAACTCTTTTTTTGTAAGATTTTTAGGACTGATACATTTTATGTTGATATTTGACAATTTTTAGGAATGTACAATATTCAAATTTATAAAAACAAAATATGATATAGCCTTTTTCTACAATTGTAATCATTGTATATAGTTTGTACACTTTTAGTCACAGAATATTTTAAAAATCGTATTTTTTCACATAATGCATTAGGATTTTTATTGTAAATAAACAAATGTTTCACTATTTTGTTTTTTTTTTAATAAAATTAAAAATTATTAAAATAAAATAATAAAAATTTAAAAGCCGGCCCTGGTATGTCAAAATCAATATGAGCTGAGTCCGGCCCATCAACTAGGGGGAGTCATGATAGACGTGTTTCCCTCGTTTAACACAGAGGGCGCACTTCTTATATCCTTTTTCTATGCTATCAGCAAAATATAGGGTTATAACCAACAAACCAACACACATTTTCCGCGTTTTTCACCTAATCAAAGTTAAAAGAGGATTAGCTATACATTGGATGGTGCAAACCAGGGTGGAAACCAAGGTAAATTTAATCAAACCAAGGTAAATTTAATCACGGTTATAATTTAATTGAGATTAGTTAATCTTGGGGTGCGTTCATGACCCTTACTCGATTCACTCGGAGTTAACTCAAAACGTTCATTACAACAGCGGTATCTACACTTTAACTTGACTAAATCGTTCGTGACTACCAGGATATTTAACACCGAGTTTACGTTTTTAACCCACCTCTTGTAGGTGCGTTGAAATAACTCCGCATGCGCATTGTAGTATGTTATTGTCAAATTTGAATTTGAATTGAGATTATTTGTGTTTGTGTTTATATAGAAATCGTTGCTATTTGTTATATGGTTGCTAAATTAATTAAATAATGGATAATTATACCATTGTGACTGACCCTGAGGGTAATATCATCTTTAACGAAGACGGATTGTTACTGGTTCAAGATAATATGCGTATGTATTTCCCATAATTATTTTTATTTTATAAGTAATAACATAAACATTTTAGTTAAACAACTTCAATGGCTGCAATCAAAAAAATCTATTATAGATGATAAAGATACCACAAAAGAGACAATTAAGGTGAACGCTGAAAGTTTTTTAACTCTATCCATTTTAAATATAATAAAATATAATTTAAGTTTACATGTGATTTATGCATAAATCAAATTTAAAATGTCAGAAAATAAGGTTAAGTTGTTTTTACTCAGAGTCGTTCATGACGGCATAAAATAAATCTAGCACTATGAGTTTACACGACGCCATATTAACTCTACTCGAGTAAAGCTTCATGAACGCACCCTTGATTAAGCCATATGTTGGTGCAAACGGGTATTAGTGATTTTAACAACTTATTACAACACAATAATGGAATATTCTACATACCTATGTTTTCTGAAAATTTTGAATTTTTAAAGTGTTTCCCTTTTGAGATATTTCAGATTAAAAATACCCGATTTAAATGAATTGCAATCTTTGAAGGCCCATTAAAAAAAGGGTGCAACTCTAAGGCCTAAAACTTTTTAGTGAAGTAGTATACTATAAAGACTATATCTATATATAAATATATACCTTTTTTTGTTTATTTAAAATTAATTATGCCTATACTTATATAATAGACAGAAAATATTGTACATTTTATGTTCAGATTTAAGAAGGAAACATTTCAAAAAACATACCCCTTGTTTGTTTTTTTGTAGATTTTACCACTTTGTGTAAGTGATGAATGGTTACTTTTATCAAATGAGATTGTCAATAAAATTGGATTATTAAAAACTATTGAATTGCTAACAGATGTAATGGTATTGCTTTGTCAAGTCGTAAATAATTGTAACAATGAAGATTATACTGTAATTCCTAAAGGTGCTTTAAAATACTGCATACAAAATTATGGCCTTGTAATACAGGTATTTATATTTTAAACTAAAATTAATATGATAATGATGAACATATGGGAGCGTTCAAGTATTACGTAACGCGCTAAGGTTACGCCGTGTTAATATGGGGTTAAAAATTCCGAAAATCTGCGTAGTTTAATACTTGAACGCCCTATGATAATCGCAAAAAAATACTACACACAAATAGTGTTGTAAATGAGGGAACGTTTTTGATTGTGCTCGTAGAACGTTCGCAAAGCTTCAAATGATTTGCGCGCACTTTTCCGGCCGAGCATTTGGAGCACAATTGAGAACTTTTCCTTGAATATGCTCGAAAATTCTCGGCAAAATGCTCGATCGATAAACCCGTTTCGCGAGAATCACATGTAGCGTACCCTACCACGTGGTTAGTGTTGTGAAAGAAAACGTTTTCGATTCGCTAACCTTAACGAGCGTGGAATCACTTTCGCTAAAAAAATACACAATTTGGGTACCCGCAAAAAAACTTGTCAAAATTTTATAAATCTGACGTTTAATTTAATTCTGACGTTTACATACTAAGTCAATCACACTGTAGCGTCGGTCATGGTAGCGGGAGGGAATGGAACATTTGAGGCCAATATTTGCAAAAGTCTCTAATCGACAACATAATCAAAATTCACTTTTTTCGCTAATTTCATTAGATTTTTGATAAGGAATGTATTGGCACCTTTATAACGTATAAAAACTGCTTATTTGCTATATAAAATCGGTTAAAGAGTTATCGGTTATTTCCTAATCTTTCTTTACATCCATTTAGCCAGTTGAAGTGCCGCTAAGCAAGAATCTTAAAGGGGATAAAACTTCCATTATTGGTTTACTGGTTAAATATTATGGTAAAGATTGGATAAAACTACCAGAATTGGCCTTTTACAAAATTATTCAAGATTAAGCTGCTAAAAGTAAAGATGATCAAGACGTGCGTCAAAACTTAAACAACACTGAAGTAATTTTTTTTTTGTTTACATACTAATTTTTGTTTGTGTTCCAAAAATCTTTTTAATGTTACAAGTTGGTTAATAAATTAACGTTTAACTTCAATGTGTTTACCTTTTTCTATTTGCAAAAAACAATATTATAATATAACCAAATAGCAAAGAGAGAGTTTTGCAATTAATGGCCTCATTTCTTACCTGATTAGCATAAGGTGACCAACCGACCTGGTTTACCCAGGACAGGTTCTGGTTTTTGCTAATGCGTCCTGGTTTTAATTTTGTACTGGTTTTGTCCTGGTTTTGCAGATTTGGTCCTGGTTTATACCTACTAATTTTTTTATTATTGACGTTATTAGCAATTTTTTTTTTAAGTGGTCGGGGCTCAGGCTAAAAATTAATTTAAAAATATAAAACTTTAAAAATACATTTAGAAAAGTAAAAAAGTAAGAAAAAAACCTTGTTTGAAAAAATATTATAAAAAATTAAGACTTTTTCTCACTTTTGTGAGGTTAAAATATAATTTACAAATCTGAATTTTTGGGAGTACCTGCCGAATAGTAAAAATGTAAGAAAAAACCTCGTTTGAAAATTTTTTTTAATTATGAGATATTCCCACTTTTTTAGAACTTGTTCTAATTTTTTTATTAAAAGTGGTCGGGGCTCAGGTTAAAAATTAATTTACAAATCTGAATTCTTGGGAGTACGCTCCGGATAGTTAAGTTAAAAAAACCTCGTTTGATTTTTTTTTCTAAATTATGAGTTTTCAAACTTTTTTAGGATTTGTCCTAATTGTTTTAATAAAAGGCTAAAAATTAATTCAAAAATCTGAATTTTTGGGGATTTTTTTTTACCATTGACGTTATTAGCACATCTTTAATGTATATGCAACTTTAAAATAACATTTAATTTGAAAAATAGTATATGAAATGTTTCTAAAATATTTCTAATTAAAATTTCCAACGTTGTAAAAAAAACTTTACATTTAGTAGCATTGCAATCAAACTAAAGTAACATTTTAGCAACATTTTATTTACTATTACTATTGTTTCAAATGAAATGCTGAGCCGGCCATAAGGCTTTGCTGCAAAGTTGCAGGAACATTGCACCAAGAATTTTTGTAACATTACACTAACAAATGTAACGTTCAGTAAAATTGTAAAAATATTATTATTCCCATTTGGACTAGTGTCTTATAATTATAATTCATAATGGGTCACAAACCAGTATAATTATTCTCATGTAATATGTGAATTGTGGATAAATAAATAAAATAAATTGTTTGTAAAACCAGTGTACAAAAATTAAATCGTTTTAACCATAAAATCATAATCATTAATTATTAGATTAGATTATAAATAAAGAGCAATTCCATGTTACAAGGCAATTTTTGTCGCGTCCGTAATAATCAAAAGTTGTGAGTAAAACTACCATAGTTATTAATCTTAATTATTGCAAGGATAATAAACATGTTTGCAATAGTATTTAATTTAATTACGGTTGTTGGATTATAAATTAAGTGTAAAAGTTTTTTTATAAATTAAAAATTAAAATGGCCAAATGAACATTAAAGAACCAAAAATTTAAAAAAACGTCCCATTTAGTCAATTTTTAAAAATGTTATGGGTATTTGAAAAAAAGAGCCATCGTTTTTTGGTTGGGTAAAAAAATTCTGAGAAATTTTTTGGGGTAGAAATAATAAAAAAAATCAGGCAAATCAAAAGGGGTCCGGTGCAAAAGTGGTTCTATGGCCTAATTCATCTATAATGTTAATATTCTCCAAAATTTCTCGTTAATTCTCGTTTGTGCTTAATTTGCATTCTCCAATAATAAATGCACTTAAATATAACCTGGTTACACCTCTGAAGATTTCATAAAAATGAATGAACAACCTTTCTTAAGTATCTGTTTCTTAGTTTGTAATGTTAACCTGTGTTTTTATATTTTAGCATTGTATGCAATTGCAAGCAGAACCAGAAGTTGAAAAGTATGTGGCTGTGAATATTTGTAGAGCTGTTAAAAAGTTTCCAGAAGTCAATAAATCTGAGGATGGCTTAAACCTAATAAGCATTATTACCGAAAGATCTCTAAAATCCTTGGCCAATGACAAGGAGTTTGTTTGCCAACTAGTTCATATAAATGACCAAAAAATTTGTCAAACATTGGCTCAAAGAATGTTAAGTTAGGTTTGTTTTTTTCTTTATTATAATTGTTTTATTTTTGATAATAAAAATAAAAGTTAAAATAAAATATTTATTGATACCAAAGTATTACAAAATTTGTAATAATATTTAATAATTATCAAATCCTAAATGGTTAAAACAGTACGGATGCTAAAAAAAAGTAATTAGGAAATGCAAAACAAAAAAAATTGTATGTAATACCTTTCTCCAGTGTGCATTAAATGGAAAGCATTATTGATATCAGAAAACGGTAATTGATGAGAAATAAATTCATCTAACTTTAGTTTTTTGGATAAATATTCTTGAACCAATTTAGGAACACTTTCCACACTCTTCCATCCTAAAGATATAAACTCAATATAAATTAAAAAAAATAGATAAGTTAATAGGTTAAATAATAATATTCCAATCCACAAAGGGTCCAACAAAATATTTTTAATATAATACATATTATGTAGTTTTACCTCCAAACGCAGTTCCTTTCCAAACTCTTCCAGTAACCAGCTGGAAGGGTCTTGTACTAATCTCTTGTCCAGCACCGGCCACTCCAACTATTGTAGAAACCCCCCAGCCCTTATGACAAGCCTCCAAGGCAGATCGCATTGTATTTACATTACCAACACACTCAAAAGTATAATCAAGCCCACCATCAGTTAATTCAACCAAAACATCTTGAATTGATTTTTCATAATCTTTGGGGTTTACAAATTCGGTAAACCCAAACTTTTTAGCTGAAATAAGATAAGACAATATCAAGATCAAAGGGCACTTAGTGACTATATTTTGCACCTATTAATCTTGATTCTTGATTAAAATAATTCAGAATATTTAAAAACCATGGATAATAAAATCTAAGTTTGTATTACCTATTTCAAATTTGGATGGATTAACATCAACTCCAATAACTCTTGAAGCTCCTGCAGCTTGGCAACCTAGCCCAACGGCTAAACCTACAGCTCCAAGACCCCAAACCGCACAGGTGCTACCTTTTTCTACTTTGGCGGTGTTTAAGGCAGCCCCATAACCTGTTGATACTCCACAACCCAGTAAGCATACCTTATCTAAAGGAGCCCTTTCATCAACCTTAAAAAGTAAAATCCGTAAATTCCTCAAAAAGGATCGATTTAACCCAGAAGGTAACTATTTACAAATTTGCTTCTTTAAGCCGCCAGAGGGCTAGTTAGTAATAGTTATTTACGATATAAGTGGGATAAGAGCTTTATTAACGTACGCATGCGAAATTTGCCCAACGAGTGCGTAGCACGAGTTGGGCAATCCCAAAAGTACGTTAATAAAGCGTTATCACACGTATATTGTACAAATTTTTATCTACGCCTCTAAATGAAAAAATAAACGGTAGGTAATTATTTTTGTCTAAGACTTAATTTAGGGTTATTTTGACATTTTGACTTTTTTATTTGATTGGTTAAAAGCAGAGAAAAACGCGTGCGTTAATGAACTTCTTATCTCACTCAAAATGAGTGAGATAAGAAGTTCTTATCTCACTGGCGTAGATAAAAAAATTAACTGGATTTTATCTGGTTCAATATATGTATTGAAAACAGGTATTGCACTATTAAGAAGTTGTACATGTAAACCATATAACCCAAAAGATTTCTATATGGATTTACATATTTAACCATTCCAGAAAACCTATCTGAAAAAACATAGCACAGAAACCAGATAAATTCATATAAATGTCTTTAACGATTTTCGCTATTATTTTTTCCTTAAAAATTACTTTGAAAATGGGTAATTTCTCTTGCTAGAGGGACGCCACGATGTTCTAATATATTATACATTATACTATTAAGGCTCTCTGCCATTTGTCAGTTGTCCCTAACATTTCTTATTAAAAAAATAATAAATTGAATTAGCTAAAATAGAACTAGATTCATAAATAAGAACTTAAAAGAACAATAATTAATAAAAAAAAATTTTAATTAAATATATTTTGAATGTATTAATTAGGGTTGAAAGTTAGCATCACACTCTATAACCTCATGTCCCCATCATATTGCAATAGTGAAAACTTGGATATATTTCCTAGGTTTTGTATAAAACAGAATTCTAAAATTTAAATTAAATAACAAATAGGTAGCTCCTCAGTACTAATAAAGAAAGTGATAAAATGTCTGTGAATAATTTTTTAAGCGTGACCAAACATTGTCCCTATGTCTACTTCGTCACAAACCGCCTAAATAAAAACAGCTTTATTATAAAATATAGTTATATAGTTTATGCAGGCAATGGTATCGCTATTGTTATATTGCGCGTTAGAAACAAGCAGCGTGTGTTTTTGAAGGTTATGTTTCGTCACGGCATTTACTCGGTAAGTATTTGCAGTATTTAATTTTTTTTTCATGTAAACTATACCAATTTCTTTATTTTTAATTAATGCAATGTTTTATGTGCATTTATTGTGTCCCTTGGAAAATAGATTTTTTTATTGTGAAAAATTTCTTCTTCGTCACATGTCTCTTTTGTGAGAGTAACATTAGAATTACCTTTAGTTTGCCTAAATAATAGTCATAATGGATATGAAAATGTAAAATATTTAATTTTTAGAGGTAGATGGGGCTAAAAAGTATAATGACCCATTTAATACCATATTGGTAGGTCAAGATACAAAAGAAGTAAAGGGTGATTTTTAAGTGTGTCCGAACTTCTGACAAGTGTCGCTGTCAAACAAACTTTCAATTTTCATTCATCTAGAAACTAAGTATAGTCTGACAAATCATCATGGAACGTTTAACGCTTACTTACAAATTGTCGAAATTTACCATCAAAACCATTGTTTTGTGCGCCAAACTTATCGTGCTCTTCATGAATTTTAAGGTATACATACGCCCAATCGAGCGACGTATTCGCCGAATCATCAACAAATTTCGAAAGAACTTCACCCTGTTACATATTAAAATAGACAAGAACAAAAACAGTGCGTTTCCAAGAAAATATCATCGCTGTTGCCGACAGTGATGAGAAACACCCAAATTTGTCAATTCGTCGACGTTCGCAGAAAGTTGGGCTTTGTTATTGAACTACGTGGGAAATTTTGTGAAAATATCTTTATTTTCTTTGGGGTAATGTTAAATCTTTGGTAGGTATATGTAAATAAACCAGAAACTATTCAAGACTTTAAAGCTAACATAACTCGGACAATTGTGTAAATAAGACCTAAATTGCTTGATAAAGTGGTCGGAAATTGGATTAATATAATTTGCTTTGTTACAAGTAGCCGCGGAGGACATTTGTCCGAAATTATTTTTAAACCAGAATGTCATTGAATGTTATTTCATATAAAATAAATATTTTTAAGATATTTAATTTGGTTGTTATTTAATTTGAATTTAAAGTTCGGACACTCTAAAAAAATCACCCTTGCAAACATAAAAATTCCGAACATAACCAAATTCTTTGACAGTTTAAATCTTTTTACTTGTTAAGTCCCTGTCTGACGGTGCAACTTTTCGCGGGGACTTTGTTGCGGCGACCAGTTGCAGCGACTTTCACGCCTCTAGCAGCGTTGCAAATAGTTCATAATAAAATTCCTGGCAAAAAATATCATCATTACTGGCAATTCCTGGCAACGTGAATGCTTATGATTGATTCCAAGAATTTTTAATTTTTACAATCTTTAGGTTTCTAGCAAAATGGCTTATTTCAACAAACAAAACACGAAATGATTTATCCAATACCGTAAACACGGGTGGCTTTAGCTCACTTTCAAACTTAACCTTAAAATTTTTGTAGTTTTAACAATCATAAACATTAAATTTTATATACCAAAATTTGAGTCTTGAGTTGCTCATTCATAATAACTATGTAATAATATTACATAGGGCTGAGTTTCAAAAATAAAAATTAAAAACTGGGTGTGCAAAGTTACCCCCTGGTTGCGGGTTACTTTGTCTCACAGTGTATTTTCCGTATAAAATGAATTCAATATTATATTTTATTTTTATTATAATAACATGCTAACACGTGTCTATAGACACGTGTTAGCGGCGACATATATCTATTGCAAGGGATTACCGATAAAAAAAATAAAAAATCGACCTGTAGTTAACCAAGGATCATCATTCCAAAGGATTGCGCATAATAATAAGAGTTTTGCACTGATGCGATATACAGGGTGTCCTAAAATTAGTGCAGCATACTTTAACAGCAGATTCTACGTGCAAAAATAAGAAAAAAAGTCCCTATAAACATAGGTCAAGAAATGCCTCTTAAGGGAGCTACAGCCCCCAAAAGGAAAGCCCCTGAAGATGGTTCTTATTTATTATCTCCAAAACCGTTAAAGATAGAAAAGTGAAATTTAGGGAATTAATTAAACTTTTTATGACCAATAAGACGTAACAATAACAATTTAAAAAATTTCATGAGGTTTGGGTCAGATTAATAGGAAGTGGGGTTAAAACCACCTTAACTTTTTTGTACGTATCTTGTACCAGAATTTGATGTCAGATTATGAAATTTTTGAGTTTTGCACATAAAAAAGGTCATCTTGTTGAACTTCGTTAACATACACCGTTTTCGCTTAAAATCGATTTGAAAATTATTTTACATGGCATAAAAAGTCACAATTAAATTACAACCATAGAAATGGACTCGCGTGGTCCTTGGAATACGACTGCCATGTTTAGGAAAAAAAAATAATTTAAGACAGGTGACAGTTTCATGTAGTAAGTGACAGGGTGTTTCTACTTTTTTATTAATATTAGATAAAAACCATATTCAGGGGCTCCCTTTTCGGGGGCTGTAGCTCCCTTAGGAGGCATTTCTCGATCTAGGTATATTTATAGGGACTTTTTTTCTTATTTTTGCACGTGGAATCTGCTGTTTAAGTATGGTGCACTAATTTCGGAACACCCTGTATGCAATTTTAAAGTGTAATAAATCCCATTTATTTCTTTAAAACACTGATTTTCCTGTAATATAAACTCAATAGAATCACTCAATTGACAGGTTTAGACCAACAAATTATAAATGTTAATTTTATCGAGCGCGAAAAGATTTTTCATAAATGGGTTAAAGTCACCCGCGGGGTGCAAAGTCACCCGTGTTTACGGTACCTATATATTATAATTGAGGGGCTTGGAAGTAAAACGGTTCAAGTGCACTTTTTTAAATAAATGGTCACTTTGAGCATCTTATATAATAAAACTGTTTTATTTGTGTTTTTTAATAAATAATAATTTTAAATCTTGGTTTTTGTCTAGCTGTAAACATATACTGGAGTATATTAAAATCATAAATAAAATTGTGATAACTTCCAAACTATAATAAATAGAATTTTTTTTTTTGATAAAAAACTCTGAGATTTCAATTAGGTATCTTCCCAACCGTAGTAAAAAAAAGTATATTCGTGGAAAAAATACTTTCGTCAGCGCTGAGCGTCGCCATCATTTTTTATTTATTTTTTGCTAAATTTACTCTTCAAAGCTCCTAATTTGGAAATAATTAACAGTATTTTTTCTTAATGTCACCATTTTTTCACAATAAGGTTGGGGCGTCGAGTTTGGGACACCCTGTACGCGTGATTTCCAATTATTATTATTACATATTGTGCAAGATTTCAATTAAAATTACTATTACCACACACAAAACCCTAGACAAAAGCTAAATAAAATCACCTCCTAATGTGAATGGTAAATGCTGGGATACTGTTTGGAAGGGGAAAATACTCTTTACGGGAAACATTCCGAAATTTGCCGAGTGACTGCTAAATTCCAAGAGACTGAAGACGACTGCCGCGACTGTCTAGCGACTGCCAAAGACTACCTAGCGACTGCCAATAACTGCCACTGACTCCAAGAAGACTGCCTATGGCTGCCATATATTATTATCGACTGCCCAGAAAATGTACATGTATTACGTAATGCCAACAGTAAGACACCCTTCGACAAAAAATGTAAGATCATTTTCAACATTTTGTAACAATTATTGTTTTACTGGGATAGTAAGAAAAACTTAAAATTTGCCATGAATTTGTCTTAAATAACTTTTTAACGAGTATACTCTATAATCTATAGATTTATCATAAAATAATAATCATTTTAGTCCATTAATCCGTTAACGAGTTATATAATTCCAAAATAAAAAAATCTCATGTAGGTACCTACTTAATTTAAATGTAAAACCACGATTAGCAACCAATAATATTAATGGTTGATATTTTAACAGGCTATAAAATTTTATAGAAAAAAAAAGTAGATTTTTGTTAATCAGTGTAATACATATACTGAAATATAAAATAATCTTTTTTACATATTTAAAAGGCCGCTAGCATCTTAACAAAGCAATTTTTATTTAGGGAAGTTGGGTTAAGTCGAATTATTTTAAATCAAGAAATATGTCTCCTTACATTGTACATAGGGTTGCCACCTTTTAAGCTTGGGGTTGGAGGACATGGAAAAAGCCCACAGCGAAAATTTTTCCAAAAAAAGGGGGCGTTGCCAATATCAAAACAACAGAAATGACCATGGACATTAAACTAATAACTACCTATTATACCTACCTAATATTAAATAAACACATTTTTATAACAAAAACAAAACAGCATTGCAGTCAGATTAAAATATTAATATACCTAGTAATGAACCCAGACTGCAATGAAGGTTCGAAAATATTCCAGGAATATGCCCTATCATCTAGGAATAATCCGCTTCATTCTAGGAATATTGATTCCAAGCACCATCTAAGAACATTCCCAGTGAATATTCATAACGCATTTTAAAATGAACTAGGCAACCAATTATACAGATACCATCCAACATTATTTTTTATTGTTTGCAAGCTTGTTATTTTATTGGTTTACCCAGAAAAATATTTTTGTCAGAGCACAATAAAATACATAGAAAGGAGGACAAATTTTATTTAAAGGAGGACGAAGGACATGATCTTATCAAAAGAGGACTGTCCTCCACAAAGGAGGACGGGTGGCAACCCTAATTGTACAGGTCTTATTGGGACAACTTGAATAAAGGCTAGAATGTTTTATTTATATTGTTGTTTTGTTATATAGACAATGTCTATATAACAAAACAACAAATTCTTATGTCAAAAATAAAAAAAAAACACTTATTAGACATATATAATTATTGATAGGCCCCCAAAGTCAACAGTCCACCCCTGCACATATTGAGTCTGTTAGTGCCCTTTGATTATTTTTATGGGTCTCTATAGGGTATTTTAAGCAGGGGTACCTATGGGAATACACTTATTTATTGAACACGGTTAAGCCATCTCACAGCTTGTATTGTTATTTTTATTGGGCCCATTTCTTGTTTTATCTGTAGTTTAATATTATTTGACTTACTTTACTAACTGATATGTCTGCAACAACAGTATATTCACTAAAAGTAGAGGTTCCCATAAAATGATACAATTGTTTTCCATTGCAAGTAAACCTGGATGTTCCATCAGGCATAACACCCTGACCCTGAGTAACGCGAATTTTTTGGCATAAATTAGTTTTTGGTGACTTGCAAAACTTGCATTCACCACATTGTGGAACATACAAGGGAATTACAGTATCACCTGAAAAACAAAAACTGTAAAAGTATTGAAAAATTATTTCTCTACAAATATACCTGGTTTTAAGTTGGTGACTCCCTCGCCAACACTTTCAACAACACCAGCACCTTCATGCCCCAAGATAACAGGAAAGAGTCCCTCAGGGTCCTGCCCACTGAGTGTATAAGCATCAGTATGACATACAGCAGAATATAAAATCTTAATTCTCACTTCATGAGCCTTGGGAGGTGCTACTTCGACAGTTTCAAATTTTAAGTCTTCTTTAGGGCCCCAAGCCACAGCAGCTTTACAACTGATAACCTTAAAATTTTTAAAGTTTATATTTATTTTGTTGTGATTTATTAATAAATACCTTTCCAACAGTGCTCATATTTGTAAAAAATCACTTCCCGGCTATTAAATAAAATTAATTACAGTAATAATACGAATTATCAATTGAAGTGTGGATCAAGAGATCAAGGTTATGATAGTAAAAAGAATATTTAAATTTTAAAATTTGAACAAAAAAATATATAAAACTATTTAAATCGTTTAGGTATATTAAAAATTAAATAAAACATGTTTTTCTAAAATGTTTAAATGCTTTTAAGTAAATCATAAATTTAAATGGGCATAAGGCTATTAACATTTTAAATTTCCCACCACGACATAACTTAAAATGTTTTTGGCGTTTCCCACGGTAGTTCAAATGTCCCGGTTGGAATTGTAAGCTTGTTTTCTGTCATCTCTTTCTAACCTTAAAAAGTGGAATCTTTCATTTCATGTTGGGTGATTTGTGACTCCCTACCATTTGGTTCTTTGATATCGTTGGTAAAGTTGGGTGTAACTGTTTTGGGTTGTGTCATGTAGCAATGGAAAACTTTATTATTTATTTAGTTTTGTTTATTTGTGTTCAAAAAATATCGGCAGGTAATTAAAATATTAATTTTGGTGTTAAACATATTTCAGGATTAATTTGTGAAACTGAGCCTATGCATAGAAAGTAGGGTTTTAAATGCATAAAAAAGGTGTAAACAATTATTTGAATTGAATTCAAGAATATTTTCATATTTTTTGGATTGACTGTTATTTAGGGCATCTCCCTTTAATATTGATTTAATTTGTTTCAATTAATCATAAATATGATAGAGTAAATTTAGTATGACTCATTGATTTAATTTATCTAGGTACCTTTTTTTAATTTTAAAGGCGAGTATTAATTAGTTTTATTTTTACAGAATTTTACAATGAGTATGAGTGTAATCAGCCTTTATTATACAAAGCAAGTCTTAAGGCCACATCGTCTATGGTAGAAAGAGGACCAGAAAATGCTGTACTGTATGGTAAGTGTTTGTGCTGTTTTTAATTTTTATATTGATAAATGTGAAAAAATAAGGCAATATAGGATAAGACACAATTTAATGGGATAAAATAAAAACATATTGAAATATTTTTCCTTGTGTAGGTAGTCCATACTGAGTAAACTAATAGCGAAAGTGAAAATAAATAGTGTAACAAAAATGACACTTAAAACTGTTCGTTGGACTTTTAATTTTTCAAAGTGGACCCCAACACACAGTGAAATGTTACATGCCACATCTTGTGTTCAATTAGAAGAAAAAAGTAGGTTGGGAAGATTTGTTTTTAAAAAAGATTTAAAATCATCTCTAGTGGGTAGATTAATGATGCGTAAATTTGTTTATATTTTAAGTGGAAAACCATATAACTCCATTAAATTTGCAAGGGATGAGAAGGGAAAGCCTTTTTTGGTAGACAAGGTAAATTATCCAAAATTAAATTTTAATGTGTCTCATCAGGGTGATTATGTTGTTTTGGCTGGGGAAAGTTCAAGTGTAAAGCTAGGTATAGATGTAATGAAATTAGAATATACAGGGGGCAAAAGTTTAGGAGAATTTTTTAGACTTATGAATAAGCATTTTTCTATGTATGAATGGGCTAACATTAAAAATTGTGGTGTTGAATCCCAACAAATTGCAATGTTTTGTAGGCATTGGTGTTTAAAGGAATCCTATGTTAAAGCAATTGGGGTTGGGATCACTATCAATTTACGAGAGATTAGTTTCAAAATCAATACAAAAAATCTAAATAAAACAAATATTGTAAATGATACAGAATTATATATAAAAGGGGAGAAATTATGTGATTGGACTTTTCAAGAAATGCTTTTAGATGATGATAAACATTGTGTAGCTGTTGCAATAAATTGTCAAAATGTTGAAGATGTTGTTTTTCATGAGTTAAATTTTGAAGAATTAATGTCAGGTTCTGAATCAGTTTTACCTCCTGATGAAGAATATTGCAATAATTACTTTCAAAAATTAGAAAAATAAGTAAACTTAGTATATTATATGGATTTTTGTTTTGTATAAATAAGCATTTGTTATGTTTTATACACAATTTAGTTCAAATATATGGGTTATTCTATAAAAAGTTGTCTTATTTTTTCACGAATTATCATATTTGTTATATCAATATTCTCCCTAAGTGTTTAGCTGTACCAAGAAGTAGATTGGCACAAATTGTTTTGTACCCCTTAGCATGCAATGTGTCACTTACATTATTATGTTATTTTGTATTGATTGCATGGTATTATTTTATCAATTTAATTTGGGGTTTGTTATTTTTTATTTTGCTGGGATTTTTATGTAAATTAAGTCACGACGGGATATCCGTTATATGGAAAAAAAGGGAAATATGATAGTATGTAAACCTTATAAAATCCTTATTTGCCCAGTCACTTCTTGCAGAATAATCTACCAAAAAATTATATTGCCTTTTTATACAGGGTGATCCACAATTTTATTTCATATATTTACACCAAAATTAATAATTTTTTATATAATAAACAACTTAAAAATGGCGCACTGGCGTTTTTGAAGTGAACTTGTTTTGTTGTTCAGTATAAGTTTAAAAAAACAGAAACACTGTGTATGCCATAATATAGAATAAATTATATCTAATAGAGGTTTTGTTTTTCTATGGTTTTTATGGAATCAACTTAAATCATTTAATCCATTTTAAAAACTTTACAACTTAAAACTACTCCTATTGTGTAGTAGGGGGCAAGTGTGCGATTTTCAAAACACTGTGTAAAAAGTCTTTGTTTTATTTGCCTAATGGATTCAGATGTTTATTTGCCTCTAAATAACATGTTGAACTTGAACTGAAAATTGAACTAAATATAATTAGTTTACATTTTTTTGTATTGTTACTGTTATTACTACCAGTTCCTTAGGAAGTCTGATTAAACACTTTTCATAACTTAACCTTATTTAAAAAAATCATGGCATTGTTTGCATCTCTGTAACTTGTGAGAATTTCAAGACTCAAATTTAGATTTTAATGTGTTAATGTTGATATTGCGCATGCGAATAGTCCGGGAACTAACGAGAACTGCTTGAACAAACGAACGTTTTATTAAGCTTAAATTATATTAAAATTATAATAATTTAAATAATGATTGCTCAAATTGTTATGTGGTGATTTTTAAAAAGCCCCTTTATTTACAGACATTTTAACTTTTTAATATATTATAGAGAATATAAAATGTATCTCCTAATATTTTGTCCTAATTAAGTATGGAAATAGTTTAATCAGTGTTTCAAGCAATGCAAAGGTTTAGAAATGAGATTTCTTAAACAACCAAATAAGCTTTAACACCAACATAAGGTATCTATAATTTTTTGGCATATAAATCTTAAGTGACTAGACTAAGTTAATAAAATTGAAATAAGGTGGTAATGCATGGAGCGCCCAGGAAAGCGATTTTGACCAGCAGCTGATCATTGATCTGGGCCAAGTAATGAACGTAACTAGAATATGGACGCAGGGTAGACATCACAGTTCCGAATACGTGATGGAATACACTGTTAGTTACGGCACTAACAACCTGGACTACGCCGACTACAAAGAGTCTGGCGGTAACACGTTGGTGAGATTTTAAAATTCAATGAATTAAAAATACATATTTTACATTTTGGTCACGGCCTGGTGTTCACAGTCTTTGTTTATCGGTTTTAAGAAATAACATTAAATATTTCATGTTGTCTATATAATAATTATTATTACTATTATTATACTTTACCAACATTAACTCAATTAAAAAGGTAATAAATTTAAAATTTAAAGAATTAAAATAAAACAACTTGAATGTTAACAATTTTTTAATGTTAACACTGTTATCCATCAACCCATTCAATTAAAAGTAAAATTATGTATTGCACATAATAAACTTCTCATGCCGATATATCAGGGCTAGCAATAAAGAAAAAACTTACAAGTGTATAACTTATTTTCAGTGTTGTAACAGTTACAATATTTTCAGTATCTAGCTACAGTCAGTGGCGTAATAAGCACCCCCGCAGACCCCGCACCGCGGGGGGGCCCAGAGGGTCAGGGGGCCCAAGGCTCACATCACTCTTTAAAAGTTTAAACCAATAAATTAAAGAAATATTTAATTTTTTAAATATTCAATCTTAAAAAAAATAAAAAATCTTAAACAACTAAACGTATAAGTATTTTTTGTTAAAAATATTTATTTAATTCGTTGATTTTTAACATGCGCGAGAAATAAAATGCGGTTGTAGCGCCATCTATTAAACGCTTTTCCAAATGTTAATATTTGCTGAATTAATAATGTTATTTGTTATATTTTAGTTCTATTGTTATTTGGTTTGAAAGTTATGCAAAAATTATTTGTTAAAAATAATTAAAATTTAACAATTTTTAAAAAATTAAATTAAATGCAATACGACAAAATATAAACTTTATAGAATTACCATGGTGGATAAAGAGGCAACCTGTATTTTATTATATTATAATTTTGTATCGACAATTTGGTTCTTTGCAAATTCGCACATGCGTAAAAACTTATTTTAGTTCATGTGTAGTTATCGTAACAGAAAATATTTAGGTAATTATTATTTAAAATTTTTAATAATATATTATATATTATAGAATAGAATAAGATTTTTTAAACCAAAATTAATTAAATATTTTCTGTTTTACTACCGAAAATTGCAGATACAGGCTGTATCTAGACTGAATCTGCAATTTTTGGTAGTAAAACAGAAAATATTTAATTAATTTTGGTTTAAAAATTTTATTCTATATACCTTTTTATTTGCAGGATCATTTTCGTAATTCTATAATATATAATATATTATTTCATTCTTTTAAAAAAATATTTAAATAATAATTACCTAATTATTTTCTGTTTATATATATAATTATAATTAACAAACGATAACTACACATGAACTTAATTAAGTTTTTACGCATGTGCGAATTTAAAAAGAAGCATATTGTCGATAAATTTTTCTTACCTAATCCTTTTTTATTTGCTTATCTTATGTGACATAAGTTATGCCTGTCTATCGTATACACTCTTTACCTACCTGTCAAAAATTTTAATTAAATATTATTAATATGAGTTTAAAAGTACTATGATAAACCAATTTAAAATTTTTTTAAGGGTAATAATTATTATTAATAAACTTTTTACTCATTGTAAAGGGGGCCCATTAAAATCGTTTTGCGGGGGGGCCCACTCAGAATTTGTTACGCCACTGGCTACAGTTACAGTTACTTGCCAAAATTTGTAACTAGATACAGATACATATTTTATTGCAGTAACTAGTTACAGATACAGTTACCTTCAAAAAGTATCTAGATACTTTAAGATACATACAAATTAATTTTAGCTTTAAAAATTTTAAAATAGAAATAAAAGGGAATTTTAAAGTGACAACAAAAATATACCTGTTTATTTATTTTATTTTTTTATAATATTTAATTTAAAATAACTTTTTTTTATAGTATTTATTTTTTAGCATTAATAACATTTTACATTGTAAATTCTAAAAATCTCTAGTATAACTTTATACTTTTTCACGTCAAAACTTTAACTCTTAAAAGTGCAGATTACAGAAAACTGTATCTACCACGGTTTTTAAAACCTTTTATAACCAGGTTACTATATTTCTATACTCAACGGAAGTTAATTCGTTAAAAAATAATAATAATAACAGTATGACCATAAATTATATGGACATACTGTTGGATGCGTTCAGAAATTAAAAATTGTGTCAGAAGTGGAAGTGGACGTGTTTACCTTGTCTTAAAAAATAATAGTCGCAGTTTAATTAAAAATGTATCTTTGTATCTTAACGCATCTAGTTACTTAGAATTTGTAACTAGTTACAGATACTGTATCTAGTTACTTGTAACTAGATACGTTACAACACTGCTTATTTTTTAGTTTAGTCCTTTAATTTATAATTTGTTATTGGCCCTGTATGTTTAAAATTAATAGTTATTATTGTCAGTGGAGTGCCCATGGGGGGTTTCGGGGGGTTCAACCCCCCCCTAAGGCTCAAAATTTTTAAACAAAAAAGTGAAGACATTTTTTTTTATAACCAATCTTAGATTTTTTCTCTCCCCTCTCCATTTCTCCTCCCTTTCCATACGCTTAACCCCCCTCAGACAAAATTTCTGGGCATGCCACTGATTATTGTCAGTTTTTAGAAGTTATTAATTATAATAGACATTTGTCCAAAGTTATTACTGCCAATAAATACCTAAGTAGTGGAAATTACATTTGCTTCAATAGTTTCCGAGATAAATTGCATGAAAATTAAGTGTAATTTTGGGAATAATAATTATCTACCAATTTTCCATTATTCTTTAAAGGTATAAGATATATGCGATTTTTTGTAATACCTATAAAATTGAGTTGGGACATTTAATTTTTTTATTTTTTTTATTAAAATTGTCTACGTTTCTCAAACAATCTTTGAGAACGCTAGAGCGTTTTGAAAAACGAAAGGGTTAAAACGCTTCAATTACCTTCAAGAGAACGCTTGACGTCAGGATATTATAACCCATGTGTCAAAAATTACGAATAAATTCAACATGTTTCTAGCACGGTCTTATATTGTAGAAGACCGTGGTTTTTAGCTTGTATTCAATATTCTTTAAAATATTTAAATCGTTTAAAAATCAAGGTAAAGTATAAGCTACAGGTGCAAATTTTAAATACCATTAGGTTTTTTACCATGTAAAAAAATTATGAAATTTTTGTTATGTTCCGATTTAAATACAGGGTGTCCGTTTTTCGAGGCTAAGCATGGGTTTATATTTAGAGAAACATAGTTGGTTATTTGAAAAAAGTTGCGCATTTTCATGCCCAAAAAATGCTAAAAAGAAATTTGACCTTTTAGTTTTTGAGATATCATAAAAACAGCAATTTGTTGAAGGTCGCCTTTTTTAATTCAGACATTATTAAGGCACTTTATTAAGAAGAATTTAAATCTGACAAAATATTTTGTACTTAATTCGTAAATCTTGATATGCCTATTACAACAACCAATATACCATTACATTTTATACTATATCATCATCCTGACTTCACGCTACGATGTAGTTTTTTTAGTGACTAATCTCTATAGTAGAAGTGGTTGCACACAGATTTTCGACATTTTGTCCCGGCCCCATTCGTGATATGTATGTATTATTATAGAGGGTGTTCTATAACTAGGAGACAATTCAGAGACTATAGAAATAGGAGGTCAATTAAAACAAATATGCCTTAGTAAAACGCGATACAGGGTGATAAATGGGAGATTTTTAAAAATTTGTAGGTATCATTCCCAAATTTTGTGCAGTATAGTTTTTATGGACGAAAATTTTAAGTTAAATACATTAAATTGTTTTCCAAATATTACAAATTTTTAAAAATTGCATCTTAAATTATAATGGATGAAGGGATTGAGTAACTTTTTTTAGGACCAGAAGTATTGTATATGCAATAACAAATTTATTTTTATTTGCAATTAAAATATTGTCTGCTTTTTTAAATTTAAATGTAACATAACACCTTAAACAAAAATATTGTATTTGCAATAATTTTTAATTACCATTACAATATTTTTTGTGATTTATTAATAAAAATGTTACTTGACCCCTTTATTTATCGCCCTGTATCTTAGTTATTATTAACATTTTACTAATGCATATTAAATTAAATTAAATTTTGTGTCAATCGACCTATTTTGATCTCCTATTTCTTCAGTTGCTGTATTATCCATTAGTTATGGGACACCATGGCTTACCAAACAATTATGTATGTTGGGTTAAATTTAATTATTTTCTTGTTTTTACCTATTTTTAAAAGGAGATAAATAAGATTGTGAACACCTAGATTAGGATCAACTAAAAAATTTCAAACTATTTACAATGATCTTAATAAATACCTACATAAACGTACTTAAGTTTATTTCGATTTATTTCTATTTAATTTATATTTTTTGTTATTATTGTCCTATGTTTATTTTGTTATTGTTTTTATGTCAAGTATTTTGTGAATGGTGAAAGATTTTAAAATTAATAGTTATCAGCACATCTATATTTAATGTTACTGTCACTATAGGCCTAGTCTTTTAATGACACAGTAATTTAGTACATAGAAGATATTATATTTTTACCCTCACAGCATCCTTGAGTTCAGTTTACCTCGCGCCGTGATTTCTCATCCATTTTGCTTATTTCAGTATCACCTGAGCTCATGGCGTGAGAAATAAATCATTTCGTGAGTTAATTTAAAATTACGATGTGGCTCCCGTCCCGAGGCGGGACTTAACTTCGATCCCGACAGACGTCACACACTGTAAATCCGTTTTTATTCCCCGAGCTTTTATAATTGGTGTCAAGCTGGATGGCTTAGATGGTAGGGCGGTCGCTTGGCATGCGAGAGGTACCGGGTTCGATTCTACTAGAAGTTGTCAAACTTTTTTTATTTTTTTTTTATTTTATAAATTTGTTGATTCTTTGTTAAAAAGTGTTTTATTTTTATCGTAACATAAATTTGCCCATTTTAGTTGGGTTTTTTGCTCAATGGGGCGGGGGGGGGCCCAATGGGGCGGGGTCGGTTGGGTTGTGTTGTTGAGTTTGGGTTGGTTTGGTTTTATGACGTAACTAACGTGCCCTTAACATGTATACAGGTACAATTTATTATTATTTTATTATAACATAACAAATCTTAAAATTATGACGTCAATCGGGACTGAACTTAAGTCCCGCCTCGGGACGGGAGCCACAGCGTTAAAATTAAGTTGAGTGGAAACGCACACAGGTCATTATGCGCGTGTTCAAAATAAAGTTCCATGTGTCATAATAATTTTAACCTTAATTATACCTGTGCGCGCACATTCTACGCAAACGCAATTAAGCCTTTACTCTCAGATCTCACACTCTGCTCATTTGATCACATATGTGGCAGCACTTAAATGCGTCAAGAGCTCAGAAAGTGCAATAAAAATCATTAAAAATAACATGAACTCAGGATTGTTGTGCGTGTCTCTTATTGCATGTTGCATATTAACTTCTGCTACTGCTTGTAAACTGTCTGGAAACCATATTTGTTTTTTAGAACTATAGTATTGCATGTTTATTTAAAGCTTACTTTAACAATCGTTTTTGCTGTTAAACATATAAAAATAAGGGAACAATTCAGTACTACCAACCCATTACTAAAATACAAAAAAATCATATTTCTTAATAATTAAAAATTATTCTCTTATGATGTGTTTTTAACAGTAAAACGTACCTTTTAATTTTCAATCATTTTCACTAACTAACCAATCAAACTTCCTTGGACCCGTATAGGTGGATCGGCATGGAGTCCCCAAGAAAGTACCTATTTTCATTTCTTAACGGTGAGCCTGGGTGGCCGGTTCGAAGTTCGGTCGATCGCCACCCAAGGCCGTAGCGGCACCAGAGAATTTGTCACAGAATACGTGGTGCAATTCTCTGATGACGGTGAAGGATGGAGGAGTTTTTCTGATGCTAACGGCGAAACAGAGGTGCATATGGTTCTAAAAACACGTTCTTGATTTTTATTTGGGTAGTATTTAAGCGCGCATTATTTAAAAAATACTAATATTCATTAAAAGCATTCGATTTATAAATTGTTTTATTGTTTTTCATTAATATGAGTATTCCAGAATAAAATGCACATTTATTTTTAAATCATAAACATTTTTAGAAAAAGTTAAATACAATAACTATTTTTCGCAAGTTATTTAAATATTTAAGAAAAATAATGTCCCAAAAGTGACAATTTTAATTTTTAAGTTTTAGATATCTTTTTCAAAGTTTTTGTTGCCAATCTGCGGCATCACGCCAGGGACGTATATTTGAAAAATAAAATAAGGTTTAAAAATTCATTATAGTATTATAAAACAAAATTTTAAAAATATTTTTCTTTAAAAATACAAAAACTTGAAACAAATAAAATTCATTATTTTTTCCAACAAAAGTACTATCGGCATTATAAAAGAGATCAGCATTAAAAAAATATGAATAACACAACATCTAAATTAAAAATAATTTTGTAATGTTCATAAGAAATGCAATTAAGGTTTGGAAAATGCCCGCCATAACACTGAAAAGGGCCTTGGGAGTATACGTCCCTGCTCCATGTGGTGCTAGTCTTGCTCCTTTGTCCGAGGCAAATACAAATGGTAACCAAGATAATAAAAAAGGACAAATGAGCACAATCCCAAAATAATTTTATATTATTGATATTGCGGCTCGCAGTGTTTTTGTTGTTGATTGTACCGCGTGTATAATTTTTAAATGAAAATTAAATTAAATTTTGTAGCCATGATTTGTGATGTCCTGCTATTCAAAGTTTGAATGGTTAAGTTTAACAAAATAAATCCACAAGCCATACTTTTCCAAAAGCTATAATACAGTTTTTCCACAACAAATTATTTCGAAAAGGGACGTAATTAACTATTCCCCATGTGGTATATCTTTGCAAAGTATAGTCCTCTGTCATCCAATTTGCTACAACTTAAATTAAAATAGACTTTTGCCAGTAAGTTATGAAAAATGCAAGGTTTTACTCGAAATATGGGAAAATTTTCGTTAAAGGTACATTTGCTGTCCCCAGCTAATTTAATTTTTATTTTTGACTTTTTTGATAAGTTTTGTATTTATTATATTTAAATACCCCCTTCCTGTTAGGACCCATGGTTTTTTTGTAACTACTTTGTGTTTTCTGGCAGAAAAACTAGGTGGAATGTCCTGTAACCTAACTGTCCCCAGAGGCGATTTTTTAATTTAAATTATTATATTCTTCTTCTTTGCAGCTTTCTTCTAAAAAAATAAATTATTTTTGAACAATGGAAAGTTCTTTTATTCGTATATAAAACTAAAATACTTTTCTACAAAGTAGTTTAACAGAAAAAGTTGACATTCAAAAATCTTGTCTTTTTCCTAACTTCGTCTTCTATGCCAACTGCTTCGAAATAGAGACACGAGATAGAGAATCTCTATTAGAGATACTATCGTTTTATTTCAAGAGGGCATCCAGTTTGATAGTTCGGCAACAACAAATGAGCACGTGTAAAGTGTGTGAATTTTTTTGTAAATATTTTAAAGGTAAGATTTTTTTGCGTACACTTTTTGGTGTCTTTACAAAACGCTACATTCAACTCTTGTTTTAGAAGTTACCTTTTTTATTTTCATTTTGTATTATAGCATAGTAGAAATGCCAAACAAATGCCGAAAGATATTTACATTTAACAGTTTTTCTGAAAAATAACGTTTGAAAAAGTCAAAAGCAATGTGTCATAAAACCTTCAGGAAGATGCGTTAGGAGGAGGACAATGTTTCATTTCTTCCTTGTGTTTCTTCCCTATTTCAGATTAACCGTATACGTTTTATTTCTTTAAAGTTTATTTTTGTTATTTATAAACTTCTAGAATTTTTTGCAGTCTATTACACTGTTCTATCACAAAGGAAAAAAATCGATCAAATTGACCTGCCTGGACAAAATATATGTACAAAATGTACATTTAACGAAAATTCGCCCATATATTAAATAATATTATTTAAGAAAACATTCAATTTTCTTAGTTTCTTTAAAAAACTTTCTTGACCCACTAGTGGTGGGCCACTACTGGTAATATTCATAACAAAGAATTGAACCTTTTTTCTAGCGATAGGTTGTTCATGAATGAGTCGTTTAAAACGTACGGCTCAGTTAAGTGAGCGCTGAACAAACGACTCAGCTCTGCTAAATGACTCGTTCGAATCGCCATTGCTCGCCATCGCGCCTTGACCTTTAAGGCGCAATTTAATTTTAATAAAAATTAGTGAAACATATTGTGAATTAACATGAAATCAATATGTTCTAAAATCCCCATTATGCTCATTGACTGTTTGTTATTTATTTTATGGTATAATTATAATAACTATTTATTTGAACAATTTGAAATATCTAATGAGCGCGCTCACTAAAAAGAATCACATGACCCAACGCTAGTGCGTTCCACCAACTTTAAATACCGACAGATGGCTGTTTCGACCTATATTGGGTCTCATCAGTGTCGGGCAATTTGGTGTAGTGGAACACAACCAAAACAAAATACTACCTGAGCTTATGTACTGCTTAAGTAAGCTAACAGAGGCGAGATGTAAGAACATCACGTGATCACACCGTCTAAAGACGTGGCCTTTGCCGCAACCAAGAATGCACGGCAAATTGTATCACAGATACTAATATGGCCTAAAGGAATCTAGAATTAGCCCAACCGGGTTTAACATTAAGGTAAACATTCAATTTTCTTAGTTTCTTCAAGAAATTTTCTTGACCGACTACTGGTAATATTCATAAGAAAAAATTGAACCTTCACCTCTCCAGAGTTTTTGTTTTGAGTGCGTTCCACCAACTTCATTTAAAAAGTGCATTCTATTCTGGGACACGCTGTTAAAAAAAATTTGGACAAATAAATCTGTACCTCAAAAATAAACTTCACCAAGTCCAATTTGATCGAAAATGAGATATTTGTAAAAAATCACTTAGTACTGCGTTATCCACTAGTCAAGTGCAGATGCATAATATCTATATTAATATTTAAAAACTAATGTTAGAATGTAATAATGATCAGTTATTAAATGTAACAACTAGAAATTATTATCTGAGTTTTAAAACTTCCTTGGCTTCTCCTGAACAATTTACATTATGTGATTAATACACTTTACCTCTGAGGTACAGAAGTATAGACATTTAATATATATTGTAATAAAAATAATGCGCGTTTTAATTTTTTTTTAATTACTTTTTATTTTTGTATATCTATGTAAATATATAATATGTGACGCGCTCTGGGAAAAGAAACCTTAAAACCAAAAAAATAATTTTTGAGATTATGATTGTTTTGAGTAGTTTTGGTACACGATTTTTCGAAATGTTCAATAATGATTTGTTGTTCAATAAAAATTTATAATGCTACGAATTTCCAAAGTCGAGCGTTACTAGTAGTGTCCGATCGAATGCCAGTTTTTGGCCGAAGCCTAAGGTTCGGCTCTTGTCGTAACCTTAGGCCGAAGCCGAAGTTTTAATAAGACTTTAAAATTTATAAAAATTGACTTTACTAAACAAATTTTTTTTAACACTTCACTAATTATATTGTTATAGAATTTAAAAAACAATTATATTACAATATAAATAGTAAAATGTTATTGCGTTTAATATATTGTTAAAATATAAATAGAACATATCCAAAAACAATAACTTGGTTTTAAACTTTTGGCTTCCGCAAAAATCCTTCGGCTGGTTTTGGCCGAAGCCGAATGTGCTTATTTGACCGAAGGTGGCCGAAGCCGAAGCTTCGGTCGGACACTATACTTACTAGTAGGTACACAAATGCCTATGCTGCGCCAACATCAATCGCCTCTCCTGTAAAATTTAATTTTCGACCTAAGGTTAGTTTCCTCGGAGCGTGTCTCATATATTCACGGTTTTTGGTTAGTCTTTTAAAATAAATAATTAAATTACCTCTTATATATAATTTATATTAGGATAAAGGGAGAGTAACTAAATATGAAATACCATTTTGTTTTTCGATAAAAAATAAAATCGTTTCAATAATTAAATATTTTAACTGTATTTTTAATCGTTATACGTTTATATTTATATACTTATAATAAGTATATTATTTTTTTTTTTTAGTACTATGTAGTAATATTGTATTTTTATTATCAATTAACATTATTAAAATTGAACAAAAACCAAAATAACAAAAAGTACCCAAATATGGATTATCGGCATTTTTATAAGGAAACAACAAAAATAGTATTAATACAACAAAAATAGTATTAATAAAAATATAAGATCAAAAATCAAAAGTGAAGAACTCAGACCCCTCATATTGGACCACCAATTTTTTTTAACTGGACGATTTTTATATTCTTAGCCCAGGGAGAATAAATACAGTTGGAGTAACTTGCAAGGGGGGGCACGTCAAATACGTATACGTATACGCAGGTACTAGGGGTGTCAATCCCGAGCCATTTTTGCAATCCCGGGACTTTCGGGACCAAATGTAACAAATCCCAGAATTCCGGGATTAGTCCCAAAAAAATAAGAAATATTCAATTTTAAAACCAATTTAAAATTAAGAAACAAACTAACTAACGAACATATAAATCTTAACAGTTTTACAAAATATAATTTTAAATAAACGAAAAAAACAATATACTTTAGGCCTCACACTTGTTGGAGGAATGGTTTTTAAAATTCGTATGCACTTTGTTGTTCCGACGTTTAACCCCATTAACAAATAATTCCATTTATTTTATTAATCTGCCCTTGGTAAGTTCCAATTGAGGCTGTAAAGCTTCAGAAGATTTTTCCCTCTGCTCGTATAACCTCGTCATCGCTATTTTCTAAAGAAGGATGAGCACTTTCAAAAGCGCATTTACTAAAGTGCTCGATATTTGAATTTGGCGCCAAAACTAAAAAGCGGGGTTATAAATTAACCAACAAATAACTACTGTTTACATCAGAAAATGTTGGATTTTTTTTTCAATAATTTTTTTTATAACATTTATATTTCATCGTTTATAAATGCTCGAGCATTTATGAGCGCTTTGCAAATCGCTCGAGCATCTGCCATCTATAATATTTTCTATTCATATTTATTTTTTGTGGCCGGTCTTTCCATTTTGTTGTTAGGATCCGTCCTAGCCATCTGTATTACTTAAAACTTTTGGAACCATATTTTGCATTTTAAATGTATGTTGTAGTTAAATAAAGAAATAATTAACAATGAATGCCATTAGAAAGTATATTTTTAACGAGATCCCGGTTTGACACCCCTAGCAGGTACTTAGTAGAAAATTACGGTTGCGCAAAATGCTTGTGCGCACACTGTATCTGTAAGTGTATGTATTGTAAATTCCTCAGCCAGCATTGGATGACAGTTATGCGCGGTGAGCACTCGTGGTTGAGAGTTACTCCTTCTGTATTTAGCCTTCTTGCCTCAGCCAGTTAGTAATTATTCCATATTTTCCTAACCCAATCTAAGACATTACACACTGAAAGGATTTGGTAGTAAAAAACCAAATATTCCCTGTTTGGATTTTCAGACCGGTTTAAATTTGTTTTCGTATTGTACAAATAACAACACAAGAACAATAAATCGCCCCGAAACTGTAAAAATAAACATTTTAGCATGCTAAATTTACATTCACGATATTATTTTTAACTAATAATAATAATAACCTTTATTGGAAAATCCAAATGGCTAACGAATTACGTCTTCCTGCCCTTTTTTTATAGCTAATTAACGCCGAAAAAATCTTTCACAACGCCAACTGTTTGTTTTAGAAAAAATGCTGGTATTCTATATTTGGGTACTATTCCATATTTTCTCTACTATTTACAAATAAAATACAGTCCTGCATGGTACTTATTTACTTTAGATTGTTAAAAAAATGTAGCTTTATTAGCTATAGTCTAAAATAATTTTTTTATTTACCACTTTATTAATATACTGTAAACTTGTATATAATAATAATCAGCACTTTTTTCATACTTCTTGCAATATCCAAGTTCTCAATATAACCAAATTTTTCTTTACAAAATTATTAACATACACTTTAGGAACCATGTCAAGCATAAACAAGAACTTTTTAAATTTTAAATTCGGTTTAGAAAAACTTAATTTTCTTTCTTGAGTTGTTAAATCGTCTCAGGATGGTTCACATAGCCTTAAAAATTACATAAATAAATAAAATTGCATTTTTTTTGGTGGCCAATTTGGGTCCTTAAAGCAATACCGTTATTATTATATGTGTGACCGGTAGAGCCACATATTTAAAAAAGAATTATAGGAACCATACTGAACATACTGTTCAACATCTCAATGTTTTTTAATTTAAAATTTAAATTTTTGGTTACACCCTTTATAAACTAAAATTTTATTATTTTATAGTATTTTTTCGAAAAACCATATCTCATTTATTATTAACAAAATAAAATATGACATATAATAATAACATTTATTTAGGCAGTTATTTGTGTCATAAAAATTGTCTCTGATAAAAATGCACATATGTACTATTATAAATCATTAAATAAAGTGTAAATTGTGACACATAATAATAATGATTGTGTTTTTTTTAAATTATGTATGTAATTACTAGGGTGGTCCTTAAAAATTAAATTTTTTGCGACGCCCCCTAAAAGCTTCTTTTTGATGAAAAAACACCAGTTGGGAATTATTTTAATTAAAATCAACACGTGCCTCAAGACGATCTAAGTTAATTTTTTGGTATAATCATGTTGTTTTGGGAGTTTTTTAGGAAAAATAAAATTTTGTTCGAAATATAAACAATTATAGAACCCAAATCAATAAAAAAACAATAGTTAATCGAAATAACAATAGACAAAAATTTAAATTCAAAATTTTTTCCAGTTGATTTATTTGGTCTATTAAATAAAAAAATGAAAGATATTCCAATTGATATTTTTATTTTAAAACTAAATTAGTACAAACGTAATTTTAATATCTAGATTTCTTCACTCCAAGGTGAAGTTATTTCATTGTTAATAATTTGAAATCTCAAAAAAATTATTATTTTATATTTTCAGAAGACATGATTATACCAAAAAAATAACTTGATCGTCTTGAGGCACTTGTTGTTTTTAATTAAAAAAAATAATTCCCAGTGTTTTTCATCAAAACGAAGCTTTTTAAAAATTTAATTTTTAACGACCACCCTAATATATACATGTAAAATACATTTAACACTTAAATATATTTTAGTATTAATTGTATTAAAAGTTCGTTTATTTAATATATTTTATAGTAACTGTATGCATTGTAATTAGGGATATAACCTTTTACAAACGATATATTTAATTAACAATTGATGGATTTTAGATGTTTAGGGGTAACGTTGATGGTGATTCCGTGGTGAAAAACGAATTTGAAGTGCCCATCATTGCTCAATGGATTAGAATAAATCCCACCAGATGGCGCGACCGTATCTCTATGCGTGTTGAACTATTTGGCTGTGAATACGGTACGAAAAATATTGAAAAAAAATACAAATACAAGTTTTTTAATATGTTGTTTTTAGAGGCCGACAATATGTACTTTAATGGTACAAGTTTATTAAGATTAGATTTGCTAAGAGATCCAGTTTCAGCATCTAGAGAAAGCATAAGGTTTAGATTTAAGACCACAGCGCCCAATGGAGTGCTTTTGTACAGTAGGGGCACTCAGGGCGATTACATTGCTTTGCAACTCAGGGAAAATAGAATGCTTTTGAATATCGATTTGGGTTCTGGTATCGTAACAAGTTTATGCGTGGGAAGTTTATTAGATGACAATATTTGGCACGACGTCGTTATATCAAGAAACAGACGTGACATCTTATTTTCAGTGGATAGAGTAGTTGTGCAAGATAAAATTAAAGGCGAATTTAACAGGCTTAACCTTAATAGAAATGTAAGTATAGATCTGTAATATTAATAATTACATTAATGTTTATTGTAAAAAAGTACATTTCACAATTGGAGGTATAATATCAAACCCAGCAAAATCTATTTGAGTAACATTTTCAGAAATTAAGAAATAAGCTATTAAAGTTTTTCCTTACAAAAAATAAAAGGTATGATATTTTTAACCAATCATTTCAATCGCACTCGTATTTTTACGAAAATTTTGATAAATGTGATGAAATTTGCTAAGAAATATTGGACTTTGCTTTATTTGGTATTTCACTCCTGATTTATAATATCCTTGGCTAAAAAAAGATGTCGCTACCAGATCAAGCGCTAATATATTTTTGATAAAAAAAAATTAAGGAGTGGCTAAAAGTTTAAGACAGGTGCGTTTAGTATTTTACTTGTGGTAATTGAGTGCAGCAGAAACACCATCTAAAAGCTATTCAAATTTCAAATACTTTTATACCGGTTGAAATTTTATTTTTTTATTTAAAAGACGAGTCTACAATTGTCGCAGGGATCCGATCGCAGAAAATAAGCTTGCGCAAAGCACCTCGCGACGTGGCGATGGAGCAAGGTTCTTTTGTCAGCTGGGTGCTTTGCGCAAGCTTATGTTCTGCGATCTGCGACCTGCGACAATTGTAGACCCGGCTCTAAATAAAACTTTGTTTTAATAACTTAAAAAACTTTGTTTTAATAACTTAAAATGGCCAATAGACATAAAATACAAACAATTTAAAGAACTACATTTTTATAAGACTTATTTTGCGCACCAATGTGTTGTTGAAAGAATATATGCAAACAAACGCAAGAACTTTTTTCGAAATTGTTTTTTTCCCATTTTACTAGAAACAAAATTATGAGGCGGTTAACCGGTCATAGGATTTTTATCCGGTTTAAAAAAACCTATTTAGAAATCCATACAAAATCTTTACTAAACAGGGTGTAATACAAACGTTGTATTGAAATAAATTTAACTATAAATATTATGCTGGTAAATTTTTATTTGGATTTTTTCTTTACCAGATTTTACTTTAATTAGAATTTATTCCCCTGATGTCATAAAATGTTTAATACTTAATACTAATTATTAACAACTTGTTTAAGGCTTTGCATTTATTCATTAATGGTAATAAATTCTTAAGTTTAAAAATTTAGCCGATCCAGTTCTAAAATTTTTTGAAAAACGTTTATGAAAATAGGTCATAAAACACTGTAGCAGAAAATGCTTAAATACTGGTAAAAGATAAGGTTAAAAAAGAATGCAGTATTTCACAGCTCAGATAAAAAGATTTTTTTACTTGTGTTGGATATGTCAAGAAATCTTAATTTTACTGGGCAAGAAAATTGATTTTAACAGGTCAAAAATCGACTTTTAACCGGTCAAAAGAATCGATCTAACCGACAACCGGTTTTAATTAAAAGTGTAACCGCGGTTTTCATGGAAAATAAAAACCGGTTAAACAAATACTTCTGACAAACTTACTTTTTACCCATTATGCAAAGTTTTTTTTTAATTCTCTTGAAATTTGAATTTTGTAGCCAAAGAAATTTTCTATAAATTGACAGTTGAACTGAATTAAAATCTACGCTCTAAGTCGCGAGCATCCTGCAGCTTGTTTTTTTTTAATTACGCAACAATGCATCAAAAAGAAAGTTCGTAAATTACTAAGTTTTAATACCTATTAAATTGCGCTTTTAATAGACATTATTTTTATTAACGAATTGTAAGGCTGAAGAGGGTTAAAATCTTATTTTTAAAGAAACGTCGAAATGTGATAGATTGTCCAGCCTACACAGGAACAATTTACTTAAAGTAAATGGTCCTTTTATAAGAAATTTCAAAACCTACAAAATTTTAAGAGAACATTTTTGTTCAAAAATAGCGCAAATGGTGTAAAAAAAGAAAAAAAAACATTTTCCAATAAAATGGTTGGGGTTTTTTAAATATATGTACTTAAGCAAAATAGGTTTTATAAAAAATGAGGCTAGAAAATAAGTAATTTGTCGCACAGAGGCGAATAGACTCTTAAAATAATGGTAAAATTACCAATATTTTAAGCCTCTTTGCGATAAACGAATAAGTAGTTAAAGAAAAACGTTAGGTGTTTTTTTTAAGTTGGAGGGGCATACCGTTGCGGGGGTTTTTCGGATGAATCCGAACAACAAAATACACAGTATTTAATTTATGCTCTTAAAAAAAATCCAACCATAATAAAAGTATTGGGTTCCCTTTGGGGACGTCCATTAGTTACGTGAGACAAAAATGGGGGGAGGGGTCCAGCAAAATCTCACCAAATCTCATTTTAAGGAAGGGGGGGGTCATTTAAAATCCTACGTCGAAAATATGTATTATAATTTAAATTTGTTAAAAAAAATAATCATTTTTTTTTACATGTCCTCAAAGAAAGTTTAATGACTAAAATCTTACGTGAGGGATAGTCTACCACATCTCACCAAGGGGGAGGGGGTCCAGATTATCAGAAAAATGCCTCACGTAATTAATGGATGTCCCCTATCTTACACTTTTACGCACAAAAAAACAAATAGTTAAGCAAATTTTATCTATCTTTATTTATAGTTTTATGTTGGTGGAGTCCCTAATATGCAGGAGGGCCTGGTGGTCGTCCAGAATTATACAGGGTGCATGGAAAACTTATACCTAAACTCTACAAATTTAATAAAAGAAGTTAAACAGGCTTTTGAGTATGGAGAATCTTGGAAATACGAGAAAATAAACACTCTTTGGAGTTGTCCTGAACCACCTATAATTCCGGTTACATTTTTAACGAGTCGATCGCACGCTAAACTTAACGGCTACGAAGGAATGCAATCCATGAACACTTCGTTTGCTTTTAGAACTTACGAGGACAAGGGTTTGATGATGTATCACGCTTTTTCGTCGACCGGATATGTTGCGATATTTTTGGAGAGCGGTAAAATAAAGGTCGAACTACAAACGCAAAATAGCCCTAAAGTTATAATAGATAATTACGAAGAAAAATTTAACGACGGCAGATGGCATTCCGTCGTTCTCACCATTTCCACCAATAGCCTTGTTCTAAGCGTCGACTATCGACCAATGAAAACGTCACGTCTCCTCAAAATCGTAACAGGCGGTAAATACTTTATCGCAGGAGGCATAACCGCAGCTTTGGGTCTCACAGCCAACTCCGGTCTACTCATGCCCGGTTTTATCGGGTGCATGCGCACCATCGGTATTGACGGTAACTTTAAATTGCCCACCGATTGGACCAGAGACGAGTACTGTTGCCCCGACGAGGTCGTGTTTGACTCCTGTCGAATGTCGGACAGATGCAATCCAAACCCCTGCCAACATAACGGCGTTTGCAAGCAAAATTCCATGGAGTTTATGTGCGATTGTAAGGGGACTGGGTATGGGGGCGCTGTGTGCCACACGTCCGTGCATAGTTTGTCTTGTGAAGCCTACAAAAACGTTCAAGCTGTCGGACAGAGGGCCGAGATTAAGATCGATGTCGATGGTAGCGGGCCTTTGCCTCCTTTTCCGGTCACTTGTCACTTCTTTGCCGATGGTAGAGTGGAAACGGTGAGTAAAACTATTTTTTTAAATCCGCCCAAAACATTACTGTGCTGTATATGGTGTTTCGCTTGCGGGTTTTCGTCGGGACATTATCCCCAGTTTTATTGGTTGGCCTGGAGGTGGAAATGCGCGTTATCGTTAAAATCTGGAATTTCAGTATTTGCATAGTTAGCAGTAGCGTGCCGCTTCCCAGAGCGCCCCAGACGCCCTTATTAGCAATATTTTCATTCAAATATTTTTATTTAGAACATATAATAGTTATAAGCGTGCTATTTATTTTTCCTCCTACCCGTTGCACCATTGTCACTATAGTCCTCCTGTTATTAAAAATTAAGGACATTAGGCACAAACAGTAAAAAGGATATTGCATAAAGGAAATAAAACCAGGCATCAACTAAAAAAATATTAAAATTTTCAAAACTTATAGTTTTTGTACAATTCTAATAAACTTATACATATTTTATAAATTAAAACAATTTAACGTTGAAAGCCGTAACCAAGGGGGCAGGGAGCTGCTTCCCCTACTAGAATGGTGCGGTTAAGACCTCGGTCATTCCAACCATTTTTCTGTGTACAATCCAAATAATAATTGTTTCATTGATTTTTTAATTTAGATACACTTATTATGGATAATATATGTAATACATATTATGTATGTATATACATAGGTATTAGTTATTTATGTCATTATGCCAAGAAGTGATAAAATATCAAATAAAATTGGCATTAAATTTTTGTGGTAGTTGAATAAAATATTGTGTGCGACTATTGGTCAATAGAGATGATTCCACTCGCGTGTTACCTAACTCGCCACGCCAGTGTGGAAATCTCCACATAATTAAATAAATAAAAACGCCTTTAAGATAGCTTATACCCACGGCACGTTACTGGTTGTTAGGATCGTAATTTTTGTTGGAAAAATTACGTCCCCAACGTTGGGTTGGTAATAATAATTTCCAAAACACTAAAATGTATCTTTTATTTTGGTTTCATAAATTATTTTAAAATAAAAAGATTATTTTAGTTAAAAATCGCAAATTCACACCGGTATTTTGACAATTAAGGTAATTTTTATAAAGCATATAAAAATTCTCTAAAACAATTTTTCAAAATACATTTAGTTAAAATTATAAACATATAAAAAAGTTTTTAAAAAACACTACTTTAATCGCAGCATATACACATTTTTTATTTTAAAACAAATTATAAAAAGCACACACCTTTTAGTATGTGCAGGTAATTTTGACCCATATCTTTCATTTTAAAAATACCTGTTTATATCGTAATTTCAAAATACATAATCACGATTTGTTTTTATCATAGGTTATTCACCATATTAACCAAGAAACTACCTCCGTTGACGGTTTTCAAGAGCCGGGCAGCTTCCAGCAAGATATTCATTATGAAGCTGATGATGATCAAATTGGCGCTCTAATAAACAGATCATCAACGTGCAGACAACATATCCAATACGCATGTAAAAACGCCCGTCTTCTTAACTCGCCCTCCGAAGAAGGTAACTTTAGACCTTTCTCATGGTGGGTTTCGCGACACAACCAGAAGATGGACTACTGGGGTGGCGCTTTGCCAGGCTCCAGGAAGTGCGAGTGTGGAATTTTGGGAACATGTAAAGATCCCACCAAATGGTGTAACTGCGATTCAGTAAGAGATGAGTGGCAAGTCGATATGGGTGTGTATTTTTATTAAATGAGTTTTTAAATATACATTATAAAGGGGTTCCCCAAATAAACGTTTTAAAAAAATATCACAAAATCTATAAAAAAATAGTTTTAATTTTTTTATATTTTTGATGAATAAACAATGTTGATCTATGCTATGGCCTATGTGATGACTGCGTTAGTGTTTGTGTAAAGGGTTTGACAAGTTTTTATAAAAAAAGTTATTGTATAATATTTTGGCATAAATATTGACAAAAATATTCTTCTTTTATTAGTCTTTAAGTACATTAAATTTTAAAAAAACAAGAAATATTTTATAAAAGTAGAGATCATTTTAATAATTAAAAGGTGTGGACGGGACAACATTCGTGATATTCATACGAACATCATGTCGTGATTTTCACAAATTTTATTCATACTGATATCATACGGAAATCACCGCGTGATAAATGAAAATCATACGAACGTCACGTCGTGATTTTCACAAATTTTATTCATACGGACATCATCTGGATGTCACTGCGTGAGAAATGAAAATCATGTCGTGATTTTTTATGCCATCGCTGTTTGCGATTGACCGATGGCCTAAAAAATCATGTCGTGTTTTTTTATGCCAACGGTGTTTGGATAATCATTTTTGCGCCACGTTCGTACACTAAGAGAAAAATTAATAATTAATAACTATATATAGTTAATTTAAATCCAAGAAAATATTGAATGTATTTAACCACAAAAACTGTTGATTCAATATATATATGGGTATACTTTTTCTCTGCGAATGTGGCGCAAAAATAAATATCCAAACACCGATGGCATAAAAAATCACGACATGATTTTTTAGTCTATCGATGTTTGGGCATAAAAAATCACAACATGATTTTTTATGCCATCGGTGCACCGACATGTTTGGATATTACTTTTGCACCACATTCGTACATTGAAAGAAAAATATTGAATGCATGTATTTAACCACAAAAACTGTTGATTCAATATCCATATATGTAGGTATACTTTTTCTCTCAATGTACGAATGTGGCGCAAAAATAAATATCCAAACACCGATGGCATAAAAAATCACGACATGATTTTTTATGCCATCGGTGTTTGGTCATAAAAAATCACATGATTTTTTATGTCATCGGTGTTTGGATATTCATTTTTGCGAAACATTTGTACATTGAAAGAAATAGTATGTTAACAATTGAATCAACAGTTTAACATTCAATATTTTCTTGGCTTAAAATTAACTATATATAGTTAATTTAAATCCAAGAAAATATTCGCAAATATCACACCGTGAGTTTAACATGATATCACTGTGATGAAGCATGGGTATGCACTCAGGATATCACAGCGTGATAAAAAAAATCACTATGTGATATCATCATGACTTCACCAGGAAATCCCGATTGTTGTCCGGGGTGGTCCCGTCCACATCTGTCAATTATTAAAATTATCTCCACTTTTATAAAATATTTCTTGCTTTTTTTTTTTCATTTTATTTAAAGCCTAATAAAAGAACAATATATTTGACAATTTCGATGCAAAAATATTATATAATAAATAACTTACAATTTTTTTGTATGAAAACAGTTTTGTGATTTGTCCCGTCCGTATGCTTAAAATGGCCGAATTTTCAAATTTTTTATACTTCCTACACCAAACTCGTACCAGCCCAGATGTCAACACAGTACAATGACACTTAACTGTGTCTTTTTACTCTGTTTTTTATCATCTTTCTGCTGTGTATTGCAAATAACTTTTTAAAGTGTCTTAAAAAACGGAAAAAATGCTAAAACACATTATTTTTGGTTTTCCCTGGGCCTTGGTTTTTTAGGACATTTAATTTATGAATAAATGCTTAATTGTTACTTAGTAAGGCCGTTTATTAATTTTTTTTAATCCAATTTTTAAATAAAGACATTTTTTCTAAAAAAAACGAAAATACTCGTTCTTTTTTTTTAGAGCCTTTCAAACACTACTAGGAGAATAAATGCAAAAGTAATTTTTCTGAAAAGTCGGAACATTTTCCAATTCGTACCTACTACAGATAATAGGGTTTTTTCGAAAAAAACGGTTTTATCCTAAGGATTAATTTTTTAGCTAATTTTAAAACACTAATTGTAACATTATATTGTCTCTTTCTAATTTTGATTGAATAAAATTTCAACCTAATTTAACCTCCATAATTAAAAATAATCGGTTATAATATTACAAGTATCGAAAATAATCGATTATTTTACGAGTAACGAGACGTAATCTGCGAAAAACGAGTTATGAAAAAAATCATTATTTTCGATTGCTCGAGTGGTATTCTTTACGATTATATAATGAATATGAATGAATGAATGAATAATTTATATATCAGTCTATAGACTGATATATAAATTAGGTATTATATTTATCATACTTAGCTTTTCCGAAGCCATTCATTGCGGTTTGAATTGACTATTAAATCAAGGGTATATCTGTTTAAAATACCTGATAACTAAGTAAAATACTCAATTACTATTGCCCAAATTTATGATATATGATATAAGCAGAATTATATTAGATGTAAACAAAATTACGTGTTCAATAATATCTTCTTTATAGGTTTTATTCAAGAGAAAGAAAACTTGCCAGTAAAACAACTACGTTTCGGGGATACAGGCAGCGCACTGGACGAAAGAGAAGGCCGTTACACTTTGGGCCCGCTAATTTGCGAAGGAGACGATCTATTTAACAACGTTGTCACCTTCCGTATTTCGGACGCAACAATTAACTTGCCCACCTTCGATTTCGGTCACAGCGGCGACATATACTTCGAATTCAGAACCGCTGTCGAAAACGCCGTCATATTTCACGCGGTCGGACCTCAAGACTACATAAAACTGAGTATAGTCAGTGGCAATCAGCTGCAATTCCAATACCAAGCAGGCTCTGGTCCGATGGCAGTCATATCCGAAACCAACTACAGGCTCGCTGACGATCGTTGGCATTCGGTATCCGTCGAGCGTAACAGAAAGGAGGCCATGATAATAGTCGACGGTGCTGCCAAAGCTGAAGTGAGAGAACCTCCAGGTCCTGTACGAGCTTTGCACTTAACCGAGTTTGTTATTGGAGCTTCTATTGACTTCAGGGACGGGTATACCGGCTGTGTGAGAGCGTTATTGATCAACGGTCAACATATCGATTTAAGAAGGTACGCCAGAAATAATTTGTACGGTATTTCCGAAGGCTGCGTGGGCAAATGCGTAAGCAATCCTTGCTTAAATAACGGAACTTGTCACGAGAGATACGACGGATACTGGTGCGATTGCAGATGGACCGCTTTCAAGGGTATAATCTGCGCAGACGAAATCGGCGTAAATATGCGTCAAAGTTCGCTGATTAAATACGATTTTGATGGGTCTTGGAGGTCGACTATTGCCGAACATATCAGAGTCGGTTTTACAACAACAAACCCCAAAGGTTTTCTACTTGGTTTCTCTTCCAACATATCCGGCGAATACCTCACGATCATGGTGTCGAACTCCGGTCATCTTCGAGTAGTTTTCGATTTCGGTTTCGAGCGACAAGAAGTCATCTACCCCGAAAAACACTTCGGCTTGGGTCAGTACCACGATTTGACGTTATCGAGAAAGAATTCCGGTTCGACGCTAGTCATGAAAGTGGATAGCTACGAGCCTAAAGAGTTTCACTTTAATATCAAAGCTTCTGCGGATGCGCAGTTCAACAATATTCAGTACATGTTTATAGGAAGAAATGAAAGTATGCATGAAGGATTTGTGGGTTGTATATCAAGGGTGGAATTCGATGATATTTATCCCTTAAAGCTGTTATTCCAACAAGAAGGACCAGGAAATGTTAAGTCATTAGGAAGTAAGTGTTTTTTACACTAAAATATGCATGTTTTACTACACAAAATGTAATTAGACCTAATTTTAAAAGTTCATCTAATCACTTTATCATTTTCGTTTTTAAATCGTCGAGTATTTAGCTTACTTTAAAGTTATTTGGGTAGATTATTTATTTTTAAAATTTTACCTTACTAGAAAACTTAATTTTCCACCCCCGAGCGAGGGAGGAAAAAAAATTCCTCCCTCTTTTATTTTTAACAATTTTACATTAGCAAGAGTTTTTGTACCTTTTCTAGCCCTATTTGATTTTGTAGGAAAAAGATTTACTCCGCGCTTGTCCAACCATTCTTTTAACAAACTATATTCATTTTCATATCGCTCTTTCGATTTTTATGGAAGGAAATTAATTGCTTGCCTCTTTAGCAAGTTCTTGCGGCAGGTCTTCTTCGCTAGAACTCATTTTCAAAACGTGGGAAGAATTTCAAATTTATGATAAACATTCTGACAGCTTATAAAAACTGTTATGTTTGTATTACCAAAAATACCAAAGCGTTGTTAACTTAACGTTGGCCACGCAACTACTTAATATTTTGTCATAATTGTATAGCCCCAAACCGGGTTAGTAAAAGGAATTGGAACGCTTAAAATGTCTTAAAACCGTTTAAAGGTAATAGAAAAAACTATCTACATACCTCAAGAGGAAAATGCGTTTCCTTCCTTGAATATTTAATGCCCTTCGCTTCGCGTCGGGCATCAAACTATTCGCGGGAGGAAAAGCACTATTTTCCTTCCATGGTATGTAAATAGCCATTTTATTCTAATTTCCCAAAAGCATGCAAACCTTAATTCAAACATAGTAATATATACACTCCCAAGTAGCACAACTAGTTAAATTACCATTATATCTGGTTGATTCATTTGAGTAATATTTTACTAAAATATTAAAATAACGTTATTTTTTAAAAAGTGGGGAATTAAATTATGGTTATGTCAAGTAAATTTAACTTTTTGCTTAATTTACCTTTGACTTAAAGGTAATTTTAGGTTTTTTTTTAACTATATAATGCTAAATATGGTTATCTATATATGACTTGTTTATAGATCTTTGAAAATTTCAAATTGAAATAAAATGTTATTAGTTATTGCTTTGAGCCCTTGCGAAAAAAATGCCTAAATTTTGGGCATTAATGCCTAACTTTTAGGCATTAATGCCTAAAAAGTTAGACATGATTTTGAGTACCTAACTTAGGCATTATGCTTAACTTGGGAATAATGCCCAACTTAGGCATTATGCTTAACTTGAGAATAATGCCTAACTTAGGCATTATGCTTAACTTGGGAATAATGCCGAACTTAAGCATTATGCCTAATCGATTCAATAAAACTATTCATTTAATAACAGGGATGTATTTTTGTATGTCGGTATATTTATTAAAAAAAAATGAGTAGCCAAGCGCTTTCGTCATTTAATCTAATGACATCATCCGGGCTAGCCCTGAAACGTAAGTAAACATTAGTTTCAATAGGTGGGTTAAAATTTTTTACTTACTTGTCAAGGCGAGCTTACATTTATATGTAGCAGTTAACATAAGTTGAAAAAAATATAGCACTGAAGGGAATTTAACATAACAAATTTTTCATTATATCTTTTACAGAAAAACCACGTTAATTTTGACGTTTAACTAGTGCCAACTTCATAATCTTAAAATTAGCGGGTAATTTAAATTAACTTAACTAATAAAATCAAATACAGTATATATACTATAGTTACAACTCAAAAATGTTATTTAAAAAATAAGCAATGGTGGGGGGAGGACGGAATCAATAAATGTTTTTTTTTCATCATCATGATTGCAATCATGAAGTGCTTATAGGAAATGTTTAAATAATGGTTTAAATTTCTATTTAAATTAATTTGTGAGTTCAAGCATTGTTCAGGTTTATTTTTGAATGAGTTGGATATTTCCAAATCTTTAAATAGGTCTAGTTTAAGGCTGTATTTGTTGAGATCTAGGTTATGTATGATTCTTGCCTTCGATGCTGTGCGGAAGGAGTGGGAGTTGTATCATACAACTTGTATGGATGTCCGAATGAGGATGAGCTTGGTCTTTGAATATGTTCTTTTACTTATTACATATTAGACAAAAAAGTAGCATCTACCAGTCATATATATGCCCAAAATAGGTATTTAATCTCAACCCATTGAATCATTGAATTCACATACCAAATTTTTGAGCAATTAATCCTAACTCTTTGGCATTTATGCTAAATTATTGGGCATTAATACCCAAGTTAGGCATTCAACCCTAACGCTTAGGCATTTATGCTGAACTGTTGGGCATAAATGCCCAAGTTAGGCATTCAATCCTAACTCTTAGGCATTTTTTGCTGAACTGTTTGGCATAAATGCCCAAGTTAGGCATTCAATCCTAACTCTTAGACATTTATGCTTAACAGTTAAGCATAAATGCCCAAGTTAGGCATTCAATCCTAACTGTTAGGCATTTATGCTTAAATGTTGGGCATAAATGCCCAAGTTAGGCATATATGCTTAACTTTTCAGCATTAATTCCTAATTTTTGGCATTTATGCCTAAGTTAGGCATTAATGCCCAAAATTTAGGCATTTTTTTCGCAAGGGGGGCCCCAATTGGGCATATTATTTTTATGATATATTGATTAATAATAATATATAAAAAATATATATATATTTATTCTCTATTTTGATTTAAAATACTATTAATCCTAAAACAGTATTATATTCTATTCATTGTGTGGTTAAATTACCTTATTTTTTTAATCAACATAAATAAAAATTAATAGCGTCTCTTTTTGTTAGAATGGACAACAACTAATATGACGGATTATCAATTTACTAAAAAGTTAAATTAAACCAAAGTATATCTAAAAACAACCATTTTCGTTGGTTAAAATTAAAGGTAAATAAAACGTTATGTAACTTATAAAATAACCTACTTTTTAACTATACCAAACTTGGGTTATTTTAAGATTTTTAATTGACGATAAAAAACAAATATTTAACTTGTAAGTTATATTTCCAATAAGTTTGTTTTAATAGATAAATTATACTAAACAATAACCTTTAAATATACCTTAAGGTAATAGCAACCAGTTGGTAAATTTAGAGAGTTATTTTTAAGTTCAAAGAAACATTATTTTACTAAGATTTTGGTTAATTTACTTAAAATACTAGTAATTAATTATTATATTTATAAATTTTTTTTGTAAAATTGGGCAGAAAGACCACGGTCGATAGCCTGTTGGGAAACCAATAAAGATGTTTATTATTATTACTAGTAATTTAACCTATTGTGCTACTTGGGATGTTTGAAAAAAACTCTATTTTTGCCAAAATTAAATGAGTAAACTGGGCAACTAATATTCATGTCTTTGACTTTTACAAAATGTCTGAACTTTTCTTAGTCAATTCCTATGGGTATTATTATGAAAGAGGTCCTTAAAATGCCTGTCCATATTCCTGAGACCGAAATAATGCGTTATAACTAAATGTACTTCTATAGAAATTTGATAATAACCATACAGGGTGTCAGAGTTAAAAAATCGTTTTCGATTTTATTAAATTAAAACACGTTTTTGCACCAAATTTGATTTTTGTGTTTTTCAGGCCGGGAAAATTGGTGGCGGGCGATGTCTGCGACACTTTGCTTTTTAATCAAAATATTACTTTTTTATCTTTATTGCGTAAAAAAGGTATACTTTCTAAATGTCTAAATAAATACATACATTAATCATAATTCAAACGCACATGTCTCGAAAACGGTTACTTAACATTTATGTAGAAAGTATACCTTATTTAAGTAATAAAAATAAAAAAGTAATGTTTTTATTTAAAACGTGAGTACGTCGCTTGACTAGGGATGTTAAATGACGGTCATTTATTTATGTGACATGTAAAATGTCATTTTTGTCATTTATTGTCTTTTATGGTCATTTTCATTTCCTTATCTTCAATATAGCATCAGACAAGTGAAAAGTACTAAGACTAAGACTAAAACATTAATACATTAATAGATATAAACAAAAATGTATTTGAAAAAAAAATTTAAACAAAATTTAAAATTAAATAAAAATCTCTTTATAACCTCTTTAAATAGATCAAAGCCATATCCCAGTAGATTATAAAGATAACTAACTGGTTTATAACTAGTTATACCTGAATTTATAGTCATCGACATCATTATAATGACTTAGAAAGTGCAGCTTCCATGTCCTCAATTAGATTGTCGCTTTCATGGCCCTCATTGGTTGAGGTAAATGTTGATTCTAAAATTTTAAATGATAATGTTTTAAAAGATAAGAATAATAATTTATACCTACCTAGTTGATTTTGCTGCACAGCAAACGGAAAATTATAGAAGTGTATAGTATTAATATAAAAATTATTTTATGCTTAAATAAAACTATATAGACATGATTGTGATTTTTTTCATTTTATTAATTAATTAAGCTGTGTTGAATATTTTTCTTAAAGGAATAATTGCCAATGGGCCATTAATTCATTTGTTCGTAGATGCTACAATAACCTGCACTGGTGTGTACTTTTTCATCAACCAGATTTAACTATTGCTGTACTAACATATACCAGTGGAGATAGTGCAGGGTCTACCGACAGACCTCATTACTAATTTATTAAAGTTTAATAGCATATATGCATATTGATCATTTTTTCAACATAACCTCTGAAATTTTTAATACAAATATAGGTACTTTATATAATACATAAATATACTTAACATCATATCCTCTGTGCTTTACATACCTGAGTTGTTACGGTATATAAAAATCAGACAAAGTAACCAAAGAAAGAAACTATTTTCAACAAAATCATATGCAGAAATGAGAAAATTCAAACTACTTGCATCCATCAAAAGATATAGGTACTCTCAGAAATATTGACTAGAACAGTATTAGAGAGACTCCAGTTTCTATAACTTGGTAGAGTAAAGAGAAGTCGAAACCGTTGCGATATTGCATTGCGCTG